GGAGGGCCTGGTTCTGAGCCCGACCCCTCCAACCTGTGCTCGGCGTTGGTTGTTGCTGTTGTTTCTTTTTTGTTTGTTGTTTCTTTTTTAATCATTATTGATTTTTCACAGAGAGGAAGGGAGAGGGACAGAAAGTTAGAGACATCGATGAGAGAGAAACACCGATCAGCTGCCTCTTGCACCCTCCCTACTGGGGATGTGCCCACAACCAAGGTGCATGCCCTTGATCGGAATCGAACCTGGGACCCTTCAGTCCGCAGGCCGATGCTCTATCCACTGAGCCACGCCGGTTTCGGTGCTGTTGTTTCTCACCCTGGGGAGGGAGGGCAGCGGGGCACAGCGTGCCCGGGGAGAGCCCTGGGCGTGCCAGCCTGTGCTGGTGCGAGGCCCTTGTGGAGCGTCCAGGAGACACACTGAGCAGGGGAAGAGCCTGCTCAGCTCACTGAACCCCCTTGCCTGCGGGCCCTGGGCTTCTGGGTGGGGACAGCACAGCCACAAATGCCCGGTGCTGGGTGCCATCTGGCACCCGCGGACTCTAAGGCACCTGGGTCAGGTGTGGGAACAGGAAGGAGGCGGCCGAGCCTGGCCCTCCCCTTCCTGTCTCTGTCCCGTTGCCACCTGCCTCGGTCCCTGCAGTCTTCCTCTCAGCCTCATGGCCAACGCCCCTCTGTTTAGTTCCTGTCTCTCCCGCCCCGTCCTGTCCATCGTCAGAGGCACTGAGTCTGCACTGTAGGCCCCGCCTGATCCTCCCCACCCCGACCCCCAGGCCCTGCCACTGGGGTCATCTCACTCCTGCCCTGGCCAGCACGCCCTGGCTGTGCGGACCTTGGTTCCACAAGGCGGGGGCCCTGAGCCAGAGCTCAAGGTCACTGGTCTCCCCGTCTACCTACGTGCTGGCCCCTCACATCAATGCTCACCTGTTACCTCACTTTCCTTAGGGCTTGAAGCCTGTCTGAGGGGAGATCCCAGCGGGACCCAGAGCTTCCTGGAGCCCCCGCCTCGGGGCAGGTGAAGAGGGATCTCAGGTAGGTGGTGCCCCCTCCTCAGACATCAGCCCCAGGTTCCCGGGAAGGCGCAGCAGAGGATGATTTAAAAAAAGAAAACGATGGGGGTCACGACCCTGAGTCCAGGCCTGGCTCTGCCACGAACATCTGAGAGACGTGGCCAGATCACGTGCTCCGAGTGAGCCTCAGCGTTCCCACCTGAAATGTGGGGTTCGGACCAGCTCGCCTAGCCCCCGTCTGAGGTCCTGGGGTGTCTCTCCCCAGAACCCTGAGCGGCCTTGCTGGAGGGGGACGGGCGGCAGACGGGATTGTGGGAAAGGCTGCGGGTGCCCGGGGTCCGGGCACGGGGACAGCCAGACCCACGCTGAGCGCCAGCGCGCCAGGAAGTGTGGCCCCAGCCAGGGACAGGGCCCCTCAGACCCGTGTTCCCGCTGGCGCGTTGGGTGGGAAGGCTCCCAGGGCACCCTGCTCACGGCACACGGAGCCTGGGCACGGGGCCTGGCACACAGCAGGTGCTCCGCAAACGGGAGCTGGTCCTAGTCCTGCCTCCAGTCTTCCCATTCCTGGATTAAAACATATATATATGTATATATATTTGATTTTTTCCAGAGAGGAGAGGGATAGAAAGTTAGAAACATCGACCAGCTGTCTCCTGCACACCACCCCCCCCCCCCACCGGATATGTGCCTTCTACCAAGGTACATGCCCTTGACTGGAATTGAACCTGGGACCCTTCAGTCCGCAGGCCAATGCTCCATCCACTGAGCCAAACCAGTCAGGGCCCCATTCCTGGATTTTGGATCCACTAGCCCCTCCCCTCTCAGCCAGCCACACCCTGTCCCATGAGGCCCTGGCATTGAGGGAGCCTGCTGCCTAGGCCCATTGCTATGGCTTCTTCGTGGGACAAACCCAACCTCCCCAGCCTGCGAGGCCTCAAGCCTCTCCTTGCAGGGCTCCAGCTGTGTGCCTCCTGCTGGCAGCCGCCTCCCCTGTGCCCAGGAGAAGCTGTGCTTTCCCCCTGTTCCCGCAGCCTCCCTGGTTACACGGTCACGTGTGTGTGTTATTATACACGTGTGTGTGTGCGCGCGTGCGTGTCACTGATCCCTACGGACACGTGATAATGGCGAGCCTGTCCGAGGGCAGAGCCCCTCTTCTCTGTATCTGCCTGCCCAGAGCGTGCCCTCAGCGGGCGCTCACCCCCATACCCGCCGCCGATGGGCCGGGCGAGCCTCCGCGGCTGCCTTGTTCCAGTCGGTGCACTGGCTGCACCTGGTTCCTCCCCATCAGCCCCCATCCCCACTGCTCCCTGCTCTGCCCGAGGAGGCCTCCTCACCCTCCAGGGCGGCTGGCAGTTAATTTCCCATGAGCACAGAGAGACAGGGCCTGTGCCCAGGGACTCCCACAATGCTGCGGGCAGGAGCCCCAGGGCACCCAGGGGGGGCGCTCACCCAGGACCCACACCGTGGCCATGGGAGACGAGTCCCCGGGGTGCAGCGCTCAGCATGAGGGAAAGGCACCCTCCCCCGGGCGCCTGGGCAGGCAGAGGCCGAGCGATGTTGGTCCCTGTCAGCTCGCCCCACACAGTGCCCGCTGTCCGCCCAGCCTCACGGGGCCTGGACGGGGCAGCTGCTCTGAGGAGCAGCCGGGGACGTCTCCCCCCTCCCGTCTCCCCCACGTCCTCACCCACAAGCTGCTGAGAGGTGAGGCCCAGCTCCCGCGAACGCTCAGCCCTCTGGCCACAGCATTTGGAACCAATAAAACAAACGTACAAAGGAAACCACTTCTATTGAAACAGTTATCAAAGCATTTACTTTTTTTTTTTTTTGGCATAGTGATAGGCTTTCATGAACACGGTAAAAACAAGGGAGGTCTAATAACTAGCTACCTTGTCATTTCAAAGGCGTGTGTGGGGAGTAACGCTATCTGGAGATAGCTCCGAAACCACAACGCGGTCGGAAAACATCTATGATGATTTCTGTTGCTCCTGAAGTCACAGGCACTGTTAGCTACGGTGGCTTGCTGCCCGAGTACATAAGAGGTTACGTTCCAGCTACAGGTGAGGGAAAATAAAGGTCTCATTCTCTTCCTCTCTAGGTTCACGCCGGAAGTGGAAAGAAAAGGAGAAATCCGTCATTGACAGCCTTACACACCTGTCGTTTAATCCGCACACTGGCCCCGAGAGGCCACCGCATTTTCCGGCGTATAAGACGACTTTTGAGACGGGGGGGGGGGGGGGGGTCAACTGAAAATCGGGGGTCGTCTTATACGCCGAGTAGATCCTGAAAAACGTCTCGCTATGCCGCTAAATGCATTTTCCAACTGGATCCCGCACCAATCACTGCAAGGCTGCTCGGATCGCCTCTCTAACTCAGCCAATCCAAGCAGGCTTTTTGTGCATGCAAATCATACATGTTCTGTACCCGAAGCTACCCTGTGTTCTAGTAAAAAGCCTGCTCGGATTGGCCAGAGTCAGAGAGGCGGTCTATTAAAAAAAGAACTGGTGTTGCCTCGGAAGTGGGGGGTAGTCTTATACAGCGAATATAGGCCTAAACCTATGTTTTAACTGTAAAATTAGGGGGTCGTCTTATACCCCGGGAAATACGGTATTATAACTCAGGTTTTCTTTTTAATCGATGTTTTTTCTTGAGAGAGAGAACCATAGATGTGTGGTTCCACGTATTTATGGACTCAGTGGTTGATTCTTGTATGTGCCCTGATGGGGACTGAACCCCGAAAGCCTGGTGCATCCAACAAGGGCTACCGGGGCGGTAACCGGGGATTCCTCAGAGGACGCCGGGGCTCAGGGAAGCTGCCCCGAGTCCTCCCGGCCCAGCGGGGAGCCCCCGAGGCTCCCCCCCCCCGCCCCGCACAGAGCTGCCCCCTGAAGGTATGTTCCAGAGCAAGGTGCTCCAAGGTCCCCTCGGCCCCCGAATCCCCTCCCCCACAAAGGCCTGTGACCTCGGGGAGGGCTCATGCCACCTGGGAATCACACACACACTCGTTTTTGTCTCCAGTTTATTTTTTTAGACTAAGAGCAGAGTATGAAAGTCACAGCCAAAGCACTTGAAAAAGACCCAGGAGGATGGGTGGGGACCACAGAGATGGACGGAGGCAGGTCCCGGGAGCTGGGGCCCGGCTCGGGGCTGGAGGGGGACGGGCGCGGTGGTCTCACGGTCTCCAAAAGTGTCTGTGCGTTGCATAGGTCTTGTCTTCACGGAAGACAGAAGAGGGGCCAGGGGGCCCCCGGTGGGGAGGGGGCCGGGCCTGGTGGGGGAGGGGCCCGAGGTTGGAAGGGGAGGTCAGGGGAGGCCGGGGGGTGAGAGGGGAGGGACTCTGTCTGTACATTATATATAGAGATATAGAGCTGTACATGCCTGCCTGGCACCCGGTGCCCACCCCTCGTCACCCTCTGCCACTGCCCACCCCACCAGGGGTGCTGCTTGTAAACTTGGATTCCATCCAAACCACAGTCCTGGGGGTGGGCGTGGGGGGAGGAGGACGTGCTTATTGCTGTAAACAGGGTACGGGGCGGCGGCCGGTGCCACCCCCTCGCCCATCGAGTCTCCTCCCGGTGTCCTGCCCCTGGGAGAGAGGGGTGGGTGGGGGCGTCTCCCAAGCTTCCGTTTGCTCTCCTTGGGGCACGTTGGTCTCTCCGGGGGAGCAAAGAGGAGGGCGCCGGGGGTCAGAGAAAGGTGCCAGGGGTCAGGGAGTCCTGAGCACTATCTTTGATGGCCCCCCACCCCCCGTTTGGTACCAAACCATCGCCCAAGCCGTCAGGGCACAGGGGCCCGCGGCTGTCCCTGCGCCTGGCCCGCTAGTGACGCGCGGAGGGAGGGGGCAGAAGGGACGGGCACGGATTATGGTGCAGACACCCCACCTCCAGCCGCCGGAGGGGGGTCTAGGCCTCCGGGCGAGGCTTCCCTGGGAGAGGCCAAGGTCTCCCTGTCTGGGCCCGCCCCCGCCCCGCCCGTCCCCCGCAAGGAGGGAGCGACAGAGCTAGGAGGCCAGCAGCGTCATGAGGAAGAAGGCGATGCCCACCGCCAGGGGCAGGTGTTCCCGCTTGGGGCTGGTCCCGCTGATGCTCTTCTCAAGCTTGGGCACCTGGGCGTTCTCCCCCTCGAAGTCCTCTGTGGAGAGAGGGGAGACAGGCAGATGAGGGCGGGCTGGGGGGCTGGGGGCCAGGGCGGCGGCGGCGGCGGCAGCAGGGGAGCGGGGACGTGGCGCCCGCGGCGGCAGGAGGGATGGGTGTCCCCGGGGGAGTCATGCGAGGTGAGCAGGCACCGGGAGGGGACTGCGGTTCCAGCAGTGGCCACCAGAGGGCGCTGCGAACTCACCCAGCACGTTGATCTTCACATTGGGGCCCATGGTGAACGGGGGGAGAGTGGGGACCGGCTTCTCCCCGGAGTGCGCTGCTGCGGGGTAGGGTGTGGGTGGGGAAAGAGGAGGGGGGGAGAGTCAGGGCCAGGATCCCCTCCCCCTGCTACAGCTGGGGAGCGAGTCCCCCTCTGCTGTGCCCTCCGCCCTCCCCCGGGGAAGCCAGGGGAGCCCCGAAGCAGGGGAGCGGAGGATGGATGGATGGGGTGGCGGCTGGGCGCCGGGTGCACTCACTGGAGGCGCAGCAGACGAACACCTTCATCCTCAGACACTTCCAGTGCAGGTTGTGGGTGGGCGTGGCTGGGGGGGACACGGAGCCTGAGCGGCCTGCTCCTTCCCGGCTGGCACCAGGCGCCCTCTCCCCTCACTGCTCCTCCCGGGGGTCCCCTGCCCCCTCACTGCTCCTCCCGGGGGTCCCCTGCCCCCCTCACTGCTCCTCCCGGGGGTCCCCTGCCCCCCTCACTGCCCCTCCCGGGGGGGTCCCCTGCTCCCCTCACTGCCCCTCCGGGGGGTCCCCTGCTCCCCTGACTGCCCCTCCCGGGGGTCCCCTGCCCCCCTCACTGCTCTTCCTGGGGGGTCCCCTGCCCCCCTCACTGCCCCTCCCGGGGGTCCCCTGCCGTGGCTCCCAGACACTATGGACACGGGCCACGAGGCTCAGCTGTCAGCGCCAGAGCCCCTTGGTTCCTAGAATTCAGTGACCCAGACCCCTGAGGTCCCACCCCTGGGACCCAAACTTTGGATGCACCGAGCACCTCTCAGCCCCTCTACAGCCCCGCTCCCTGCCCAAACCCCATAGCGGGCATCCCTCCCAGCGGCCCGATGCCGCCCCGGGGACCCCGCCCCCGGGGACCCCGCACTCACAGATGTAGTAGTACTCGTGGCCCGCGTGGAACTCGTAGCCCAGGGAGAAGGCGCTGTAGCGCTGGAACTTCTCGGAGAACTTGATGGGGCTGTGGGCGGCGCGCGGCCGGTTGCACTCCCAGCGCTTGAAGCCCTGGCTGGCGTTGCAGGCGCGGTAGCCGGCGCGGCTCACCATGTACAGCACGTACTGCTCCGCGCCGCCCGGGCCCGAGCCGTTGTAGTGCGGGCAGTAGATGTCCAGGTAGTCGTTCACGTTCACCTGCACCGTGTAGCCCTCGCGCCGCAGGCTGCGGGGACCGGCCGCGGGTCAGAGAGGAGCAGCCGCCCGGCCCCCCGCTCCCGCCGCTCCGCACCCCTCCCCGCAGGGTCCCCGGGCTCCCCCCCCCCCCCCCCGGCTCCCGGGCGCCCCCTCTCCCCGTGCCTGCCTCCCCGGGACCCCCCCGCCGCCGCCAGGGCCGCACTCCGTGCAGACTCCGGCCGGCTCTGGGCCTGTCCCGCTGGCGGCCACCAGAGGGCAGACACGGCGCAGGGAAGCCCCGCCGGCCTCTCAGGAAAGGAGGCGGAGAGGACGGTGGAGGGAAGGAGGGAACGCCGGCTCCGGTTGCCACAGAAACGGCGCAGGCCCCTGCGATGCCGATACCCAGACCCGGATTTCCTCCCTCCATTCCCCATAATTCACCAGCGGGGCGCGGGGACAGAGCAGGGAGAGCAGTGAAAGTGGAAGGAATCCCTCCGGATGGATAAGCATCCTCCATCCCATCTCCCCGCACGCTTTCCGCGGCTGCCAGGCCAAGGCCAAGGCCAAGGCCAGTGCGATGGGACTTGCCCTCATTCAAGCATGTAGGCAGGCTTCATGCATATACATGCGTAGTTCCAAGGCGCACACACAAACATGGAAATGCTCGGTTGTATGTGTGCTGAACTTGCACATCAGTATTGGTTGACCTCCACAATCTCAAATTCTCCCCCCCCCCGCCTCCCTCTCTCTCTCTCTCTCTCTCTCTCTCTCTCTCTCTCTCTCTCTCTCTCTCTCTCACACACACACACACACATACACACACACACACACACTGCCCTCCATCCTGAGGCCATGGCCGTGAGGTCCTCCAGGTGACAATGCACCAGGGCATTAAGGAGCTCAGTATCAAGGCTCCACCTGGTATCGCACCAGCCAGCCCCAACTTTTGTATCTATCCGTCTCCCTCCATCCTCAGCATGGGCACCACCGTCCCTTCAAGATGCTGGGCCGGGCGGCGGGCCTTGTGCCTAGACAGATGGCTGTTCCTCTTACTGCCCTGAGCCTCCTATGGGACAGGGGAGCAGATGCTGGGTCCCTTGTAATCCCCACCGGCCTTATTAGCCATCCTCAAAGCACTGCTCTTTACCCTGTGGATGCAGGGATGGGAGCAACACCTGAGAGGAGAGAGAGACTGAGCACCAGGCAGGAATTTCCCCCGTTTCCGAAGGGCAGGCATGCATACGCCTTGGCAGTGAGCGGGAGAGAGGGGGACACGAGAAGGCACGGGCTCCTTGGCCAGATGTCAAACACCGGAGTCCCTGGGAACTCCCCGAGGGGAGGGCCCGGCTCCCCGAGTCGCCAGGCACCTCCCTGCTCCACAAACAGTAATTAGGTCTCGCAGGGAAAGGCGTTTGGAGGCTCTGCCTGGGAAGGGCCTTGAGGGTCCCTCCCCACCTTACCCTACTTCCTGGGCCTGTACCACCCTTCCCCTCCACGTCCCCTTCCAGGCTGGCAGGAAGGCGGGCGGCGAGCGCTGGCGCTTAGGCGCCCTGTGAGCATGGGCACAGCTTCCCTGAGTCACCAGGAATGCCACTGGCCCCACTCAGTTCCCACGGGAGCGATGGGTCACTCAGGCCCCGCCCTGGCCCTGGCGCTCAGGTGGGCAGGAGAGCCGGCCTGGGGCGCTGGGAGCAGGAAAACGGGTTAGACCAGGCCCGGCTCCCGGCTGCCACCCTAGGTTTGCCTCTCTCTTTCCAACCCCAAAGGCTGTGGGGAGGAGGCCGCCGGGGTAGGGGGCCCCGCCTGGAGCGGCTGCCTAGCCCCCCTGGGGCCTCTGTCCTTGAGTCTCACCCAGGTCCCAGCCCTGCCCTGGGGGGCCCCTCCCTGGGGGGCTGCTCAGTTCCCCCCTCACCAGCAGGGAGTAAGCCAGAGCCAGAGCCATTGCTACAGGGACCTCAGTTCCCCAAGTGGGGTTGCTGGGTGACCACCAATGAAGAGAAACCATCTCTCACCTATCCCAGGGTTGGGCTGAAATGCCCCCGAAAAGCTGGGCACGTGGGAGCAAGAGACCTACTTGTGGAATGGCTGTGCCGGGCGGGAATCTGTCGGACGGGGGGCAGAGGGCTGGCTGCCAGGAATCTCGGGCACACTGCTGGAAGCGGGGTGTGGGGGGTGGGGGGGTGTGTGTGCTTCCTTTACATCTCTCCTCCGCCCTCTCCACAGTGAAGACGGTGACGCCAGGCCCGCGAAGCTGCTGCTAACCCCTCCTCTAGGGCTGTGCCTCCCCAGCCTGGAGCCCCGCCCCTGGTAGGGGGTGGGGCGAGCTGGGACCTGGGGATTGGGTGGTACCTGCCCCTTAAGACAGTTCTCTCTTCTCCCTTGCATCATCCCCCACTAGCCTCCCACGTGTCTCCAATAAAGGCGAGTGTCCACTCACCCCACCTGGAGGGGGTGGCGCCGCGCCCGTTATCCGTCCCTCCTGGCTCTCACCGCCTCCGGTGCGCCTGGCTCCCAGCGTTCCGTCTGCTGGGACCGGGTGGTGGGCGGCGGGAGCGCGGGAAGCGGCAAACCTCCACCCCCGCCCCGCAGGGCGATTCGGGGCAGTTACACAGGGTGTCTAAGCCATCGGGGCGCAGGGAGAGGATCCCACAGAGCCCGGATCCGGTTAGATCCCTCCCCCTCTCCTAGGGATGGGAATGCCGAGCTGGGGAAGCGGAGGGAGGGAGGCTGGGAAGACACCGGCCGCCTCCTCCCTCCGGCGCGCGCTCCCGAGGCCTCCCTCGTGCGGCTGCTCCTGCCGGCGAGGCCGGACCACGTGTGCGCAACGTGGGGCCGCGCGCCCGGCGGGAGGCGGGGACGCTCGCGGGGTGGCGGGTGCACACGGACACCCCCGCACCCTCCTGGCTCCCTGGGCCTCGGGACCCCCGCCTCCGCCCGGGCCCAGCCCCGGAGCTCCGCGGGCCGGCGTCGGCGGGAGAATCCGCGCGCCGCGCGCCACGCACCCGCCCCTCCTCCTGCGACAGCGGCGGCGGCGGAGGTTTATTGATCTGCAGCGGCGGAGAGGCGCGAGGGCCGCCGAGAGCCAGGCGCGCAGAGCCGAGCGTCTGGAGGAGCACACCGACGGGGAGGGGGGATGCACAGAGATCGGACCCACTGAGAAACCCGGGAGAGGAGGGAGCGAGGCAAGAAAGAGAGAGGGGGACCCTGCAACCGAGAGGACGAGGGAAGCGTGCACACCCAGAGGCTTGGAGAAAGGGGGAGGCATGGAGGCTGGTCCAGGGAGGCCCTCACACAGCAGAGACAGAGACAGTGAGGCGCAAAGGAGGTTACCGGCGGCCAGCGAGGGGTGCAAGGCCCCCTCAGTGGCGGGAGGACACAGGGACCCCCGTGGGTGCAGCGGAGACTCAGTAAATGTGTTAAACAGTGTCTGAATGGAAGGCAGGTCAGAGCGGAAGCAGCTCAGAGACAGACAGGGAGGGAGAGATGTTCCTGGGGCTTGAGAGGGCGGATGCCAGCACACCTGCTCAGACTGTAAAGAGACGGAGCCCAGGCAGGCCGCCCCCCCCCCCAATCAGTCCCAGGCTCAGGGGCCCCTGAACCTCACGCATCCTCCTCTCCAGGCAGCCCGCCCGGCCCGGTGTCTGGTCCAGGCCGGGCGCAGGTCTGGCTCCTCCAGGAGGCCACCCGCAGGGGCTGCGTGGGGGCCGCGGGCGGGATGCCGACCTCAGGAGGGCGCAGCCCCCGGTCTGTCCAAGGAGGCCCCGCACGTGTCCCGCCGGCGCCCTCCCACGTGACCCAGCAGGAGGGGGGGTCGCAAGACCCTCCCCACGTGACCCCAGGGCCAGAGACCCTCCGCGTGTGACGGGCGGGAGCCGGCGCCGCTCACGTGACCGGGCCGGGGCGCCTGTGGCTCGGCGGCCCCGCCCCCGCTCCCCGGCCTCCGCTCCCGGCCCGGAGCACGTCGCGCTCACGATTTATGGGGCCGCGGCTGCCGCAGTGAGGGAGCCGGGAGCCCGGCGCCGCGGCAACAAAGGCCGAGGATGGGAGGCGGGGGCGGCGGCGGCACCCGGCCCGGCGGGCACCCCCACCTCCGCCGGCCCCGACCTGCGGGAGCGGGAAAGGCAGAGAGGAGGCCACCGGAGCCCGGGCCCCCATCCTCTCCCAGGGCGTCCACCTGAGCCCAGGTGTATGCGGGGGAGGGGAGGGGAGCTGTCAACACCCCCCCCCCGACCCTGCCCGCGCCGATCCCATCCCTCGGCCCCGGCCTCCGCGGGGGGCCCGGGATGCCCCAGAGTGGAGGGGGACCGGCCCCTCACCTGAGCGCTCTGCTCCCCGCCAGGCCCGAGCGGGGCGGAGGGCGGGCTGTGAGCCTAGGGGAGGGGGACAGGCCCCGGGAACCGGGGAGCAGGCCCCCCGCACCCCCGAGTTCTCCGAGCTCCCCTCCGCGGGGGAGGGGCCGCGCCCCCGCCGAGAGGTTTCCATGGGAAGCGGGAGGGGGCGCCGCGCTCCTCCCCACCCCCCGTCTGACACTCGGGCGCGAGGTGGGAGCGAGGGGGAGGCGCGGAGCCCCAAACAACAAAGAGCCGGGCGGCGGGCGGCAGCCCCTCCCCCGGGAGGCTGGGGTCGGCGCCGCCGGCCCTCCGGGTGCCTCCCCCGGGGCCTCGCCACGGCCCGGGAGCCGCCTCCGGGGTGGGAGCCAGAGGCAGTGCCGCCGCCCGGGCAGGTGTGACAGTGACCCCCGCGTCCCCAGGGATCCCCCCGACACACACATACACACACACACACACACACACACACACACACACACACACACGGTGATCCGGAGGAGAAGACAAGGGCAGCCGGAACCGAGCGGGGGGAGAGCCCGGCCCCGCGGCCGGCACCCGGGACCCACAGGCCGCCCGACCCCCGCCCAGCCCGCGGCGCCGGAGTCCCGGGCCCAGACGTGGCCGCCGCAGACACACCAATCACACCCTCAGACACACACGCACACTGACAGCCGCGCACGCCCGCTCACTGGGAGCCACACGCCATCCAGCCCGGGTGTGTGTGCGTGTGTGTGTGTGTGTGTGTGTGTGTGTGTGTGTGTGACAAGCCATCTCCCTGCTTCCTCCTCCCTCTCCGCTACCCCGTGTCCCCATCCTCACCCACCAGCACCCGGCGCCCCCGACCCAGCCCCGGCTCACCCAGCCACACCGCCCGGCAGCCCCTCCACCGCCGTCCCGGGGAGGCACTCAGTCAATCGGACGCCCGGCCTCGGCTCTGGGCCCCACTTCCAAACGCAGGAGTCCGAGACAGAACCCCTTGAAACGCTCAGCACCGAAAACAGGTCATCCCTGCCCCCCACCAAAAACGGATGGCCTGCCCCCAGCACGCTGGTGCTCCCCAGCCCCAGCCCGGCGGCGAAGGCGGGGGCGCCGGGGGCCCTGTGGGGTGGGGTGTGCAGAGAAGCCAAGGTGGGGCGGGGGTCCCTGAGCAGCCTGCCCTGCACGGCCAAAGCCTCCTTCCTCCCTATACACCTCCGCGGCCTCTCTCAGACGCCCCCCGAGCTCCCCATAGAGCGTGCCCCCCTCTCCCTCGCCTCCCAGCACCCAGCGGTGCTCCCGCAGGACTCCCACCTAAGGTCCCCCCGAGCCCACCCGCTTCCCCTTCCCCGACGCGGGACGCGAGCTCCCGCCCGGCCCGGACTCACTGCTGGTTGGAGCTGTTCCAGTACACCGTGTGCCGGTTGCCCAGCGCCCCCCCGGGGCCCGGGGCCAGCAGCGGCAGCAGCGGCACCGGCACGAGCAGCAGCAGAAACAGCAGCAGCAGCGCGGCCGCCGCCATCCCCCGAGCCGCCGCCGCCGCCGCCCCCCGACTGAGCCCCGCGCTCCGGGCTGCTGGCTGCCCAGCTCCCCGCCGCCCGCCGCGGCCGCCGGCCCCGGAGCTCAGGCCACGCCCCCGCCCGCCCCCCGCCCGCCCCCCGCCCCGCGCGCTCCCGAAGCCCCGCCCGGCGCGCTCCCGCAGGCCCCGCCCCTGTGGGCCCGGGCGCGCGGCGCGGGGAGGTGGGACCCGCGCTCCCCGCTCCCCGCGCGGTCTAACGTGCTGCCGCTGGTCCCAGGCTCTCTGCTCCCTCGGCTGGCGTCCCCAAGTGGGTTAGGGAGGCCACAGCGGGGATCTGTCTCCACCTGGAGGGAGCGCATTCATTTCTGGGATGGGGTAGAGACTTGAGAAGAAGGTGGGGATCCAGGCCCCCTTAATCCGTGGCACTAGACCCCCTCCTTTTTGAACGGCCTGGCCCTCTGCGCCTTCCATTCCCCCCTTCCCCTGTGAATGGGGAGTCAGGGGGGCCCTAGAGGGTGTGGACAAGCCCTCAGCTGGCGCCAGCGCCCTGACAGCGCCCACCTGAGCTGGAGGCTTGTTTTTCATGGGGGTGGGTGGGGTGGAGGAGCCCCCCAAGAATGTCAACCCTGGGTGCTGGAAGGGCAGGGGCAGTCCAGGGCCAAGGTGGAGGAGGACCCAGGAGAGTCCGCTGGAGCAAACCAGGCTTATCGGGACATGGACACACACACACACACACACACACACATACACACACACACACAATTCCTCACACGCTCTGGCAGGCCCCCTCCCAGTAATGTGGTTTTCTTAGGTATTCTCTCTCCTCTCTCACATCAACACGGACAAGAGGGCAGAGGGCAGAGCACCCAGCTCTCACCACAGTCATTGTCCGATGGTGACACCCAAGCACAGACATTACACACACACACAGGAGAAAAAGCAGACACCTAGAAGCTGACACCAACTTACAGACACATACATGCCCCCTGCACACGCACGCGCATGCATACACACAAGCACAGGTAGAGGTAATTTCAGTAACTAGCGATCTGTAGAAACACAGACTCTTCGATGTACAGAGACAGGGGAGCATACACCCAGATACATGCACACACACGACGCATACACAGACTACACGCACCCTCTGATGCACACACACAGCTCCGTGCGCTCCTTTCTTTTCCTGGGACGGAGAAAGGGTCTAGAGTCCTGCTCGCCTCCCATCGCTTCTCTTGTGGAGAGGCTCAGACTGAGTGACCAGGAGAGCCAGGTCTCAAACCAGGTTCTCAGAACTCAAGCCGCCCCCCGCCCCCATGTGAAGGGGGACAGGCAGAAGGTTCCTTCCGTCTCCACCACAGGAGCGAGAACACACAGGCGCCCTTCACCCCCTCACCCTTGGCCGGACAGAAGCGCTGACCACTGGCCCACCGTGGTGCTGGGTTTGGGGGAGGGCAGTGTCATCCAGAGCAGGTCCCATGTCTAGTGCTGCTCCATGCTCCCTCAGCTCCTCTCCACCCCAGGAGACCTCCTCTCCCTCCTCAGGAGCCAGAAAACAAATTGGGCCCCTTGGGGTGGACAGGGAGGCTGCAAACAGCCTTCCCTCCCAAGAGACGCCGCTCCCCACGGAGATTTGTTTCACCTGAAGATGCTAACCTGCCTGCTCCAGGTGCCAGGGATCCCAGCGCCTTCCCTGCCTCCCACACCCCCCACCCCTCTGCAAAGGGAGGCTTCGCGCTGTGGGCCGCTCAGTTGCCGATAATCACTGGGAGCCGGAGGTTGTTGGTTGAGGACTTCAGAGTTGATTTCAGAAGCTCTAAATCCCTGTTTGTAGAGTCTGGACCCCACGAACAGCCGTGGGCCCTTTTCTGGAGGACCCAGATCCTCCTTTAGAAACTAGCACTCTCACTCCCACCCTCCAAGAGTAACTTAGCCCCTTTCTTTCTCTCTCTCTCTCTCTCTCTCTCTCTCTCTCTCTCTCTCTCTCTGTCTCTCTCTCTCTCTCTGTCTCTCTCTCTCTTTCTTAAATATATATATATATATATATATATATATATATATATATATATATATATATATATTTTTTTTTTTTTTTTACAGAGAGGAAGGGAGATGGATAGAGTTAGAAACATCGATGAGAGAGAAACCTCCATCAGCTGCCTCCTGCACACCTCCTACTGGGGATGTGCCTGAAACCAATGTACATTCCCTTGACTGGGGTTGAACCTGGGACCCTTGAGTCCGCAGGCCGATGCTCTATCCACTGAGCCAAACCGGTCAGGGCATAAAGCTCTCTTGACAGGACTCAAGCAGCTCTTTCTATGCGGTCTAAGCCTCTGGATCAGGACACTCTCTGTAGGACCTAGGCCTGTGTCTGTAGGATCCAGTGCGTTGCCTGTTTGGGCCTTTATCCAAATCAGCTGGTGGCTGACTTGACCTGTGGGTGAATTAGAAAAAGCACTCCTCTAGGCACACCCAGTCCTTAGAGGGCATCTTGTGGCAAGTGGTGCCTCTGGGCAAAAACAGAGGGACCACTTCCTCCGGCAGAGGCGACCTGTGTGTCTCCCCATCTTGGGCTAACGTCAGCCTGGACTCCCACTGAGGTGGCTTCTTTGTGGGAGTCCATGCACAAACCACACAACTGTCTGGCGTCAGGGCATACACTCCAGCTATAAGGCCTAGGCCTGTCTGTAGGCCTCTACTCATGGGTCCTGGGATTCTCTAAGGACTGGTTCTCTGGGTATAAGATCTGGGCCAGTGTCTACACGCCTGGGATCTGACCTGAGGCAGGCCTCCTTCTGTGCCATCTGGGCTGCCATCAATGGGGTCTAGGCCTCTGTTCATATCTGTGACTCAGATTTTACCTGAATGTGACTTGTGCATTTTGCATTTGTAATATAGTACACACACACACTCACATATAACTGGAACAGTAATTTTTATGAAACAATACTTAGCTTTACTACTTACCTTTACTACAGAGGATACACTCCAGTCAGGGCACATGCCTGGGTGGTGGGCTGGACCCCCCGTACGGGGTGTGCAGGAGGTAGTCAGTCGATGTTTCTCTCTCCCCCACTCCCTCCTTTTCTCTCTAAAATCAATAATAATAAAAAACACATTAAAATGTTTTAAATAAAAGGCTGATTGAGATCCATAAAATTGATTTCTTGATTTTACTACCTCTAATGTAGTAAAAGCTACAGTCTGAAACACGGGTGCCAAGGCCTGGGCCCAGATCAATACTCCTCTGTGGGGGAGGGCCTGGGCTTCTCCCCAGGACCCGTCCTCTCTCCAGATCTCAGGCCTCTTCCTGCAGGCGTTGCCTTCATTTCCTTCCGACCCTCAGGCTCAGTACTCTGCTAGCCGCCCTGTTCTCTCCAGGAGGCAGTGAGCGCAGGCTCTTGGGAGCTCTGAGCCTGGAACCTCACCCTCGGCCCCTGAGGCCTAGGAAGCGGGGAGTGGAACAGGCCAGGGGCAGGGGGAGTGCTCAGGCTGTGGCCCAAGATGACTCCCAGGACATGGGGTGGCAATCAGGGAGCTCAGCTGAGCTGTGTTCAATAAATTATGGAGGCTAGGGCCTGAGGGAGAGGGAGGCCAGGGGGAAAGGGGGCCATGAATAAATAATTCATTTAGGCAATGAACAAGGAGCTCTGGTTGGCATGGCTCAGTACAATGTCAGCCTGTGTACCGAGGGCTGCGGGTTTGATTTCTAGTCAAGGGCATATACCTGGGTTGCAGGTTTGATTCCCACCTGGGTCAGTGTGGCACATGTGGGAAATGACCAATTAATTTCCCTCCCTCTCTCTCTCCCTCTCTCTCTCTCTCTCTCTCTCTCTCTCTCTCTCTCTCCCTCCTCACTCCCTCCCTTCCTCCATTCCAGTTTCTCCAAAAATCAATGGGAAAAAATATCACCCAGTATTAACACAAATCAATCAATCAATAAAAATAAACACAAAAAATAAACAAGGAGCCCGTGAGGAGGGGGAGGGGGATCGGACACATGTGTGAGTGGGAGAAGCAGCTGCCAGCCCCAGACATAAAATATTCACAGGCTTTCCACTTAGCAGAGGGCCCATGTATGTGCCCAGCGCTGGCAGGTGGTTTGTATGGCTCTAACCGGAAACCTGGGTGTTAACGAGGACTTCCAGGTGTATGTGTCAGCGGTACTCCCGTGGCCATGGCGGACAGGGAGCCGCACGCGGGACTGACAGCAGGGAACACGGCGCTCCGCTGGGTGGGCCAGGACACAGGAAACGAGGGCGCAGGGCTAGGTGGGTGGGGTTGGGGTGTACTAATCTCTTGTCCTGGTCATGCCCTGATCCCTCTAATGAGCCTGGCAAGCCGAGAAGCCTTAATCGGGGAGGTATCTCGGGGACCAGGCTGAGGTGTGTGGCTCCTCTGAGTGTGCCTGAAGGAAGCTGGAAAGGGAGGCAGCCTGGCTGAGCAGTTCCCAGGATGGGCTTGGGGTCGAATTCCAGTCCTGCCACTCCCGGGCTGTGTGAGTCACGTCGTCGCTCCGCTGAGACTGGAGTGGGGCTAGTCACCCTCCCTGTGAGGAGCTGGCTGTTGAGGGATTAAGATTCATGTCTGGGAAGCACTCAGCCAGTGTTTAGGACCCGCAGTGTCCGGTTAATGGAGGCCTCCTTGTCATTATCATGACCAGGGTATCTCTTGATGTCCACCTACCTAGACTAGCCCCAGACTCCGTCTCCATTCATTCTTCCCCGCCTCCAAGCTCCTCTAATCGCTTTCCTAGGGGAGAGGTGGGGAGAAGGGATGGGCGGGAAAAGATTAGATAGAATCAGGGAGAGGAGAAGTTAAGGCCCAAAGCGGAGGGCCCATCCTTGACCTCCTCCTCGGACCCCGAGCCTCTCCTCGACCCCTCAGATTCTCCCTTGAGACTCTCTTCTCTTTCCCGCCTCCACAAATGTAGCTTTCTAGCACGTGGCTGCAAGAAGACTGGGAATTAGGATAGAGCAGCGGTCGGCAAACTCATTAGTCAACAGAGCCAAACATCAACAGGACAACCACTGACATTTCTTTTGAGAGCCGAAAGCTGACTTCTGCGCGTGGGCCATGAAGTTTCGATCGCTCTGTAGGGCGCGCCCGCACGTGGTGTTTTGTGGAAGAGCCACACTCAAGGGGCCAAAGAGCTGCATGTGGCTCTCGAGCTGCAGTGTGCCGACCCCTGGGATAGAGGTCTCTGAATGTAGAGGCCATCCCAGCTCCCCCGTGCCTGTCCTCACTGCCAGAGCTCTGGCTATCACCCCCTCCCTACCACCAAGGGCTTCTTCCCTGGCAAAGATGGCGATGTCTGGGCAGAGCCCAGAGCGATGGCATCCCGGAGTGGGCGGGGAGGATCCTGGCTGGAGCGAGCCGACCGGGAGAGAGCGGAGAGGGCCAGGGTGGAGGGCCCGGGGCCTCCCGTGGGCCCAGCATTCCCCAGGCCTCTCGTGTACCTGGAAAGGATCCGCTCCCTTCGGGAGAAAACGGCAGGCAGGTCTGAGCTGGCCTGCTCCTCAGGAGACAGAGGAACAGGCTGGGGGAGGGGGCCTGCGATCTTCGTGGGGAGAGGTGGCTGTACCCCCGTGGCTCCTCTGGGGAGCCACGCGTGGAGGGAGTATGGCTTAGGCACCCCCTACCATAGCCCGGGGCTCAGCCCTGTGCCCCCCCTACCCCCCAGTTTTCTGCCACTCGGAGAGCCAAAGGTCTGGGCCCCCAGGGGGGAAGATGGCGCCTGCTCACCCTTCCCAAGAGCCAACGTGGGTTCCTCACTTCCCCTCCCCTGGGCTGGGCAGGTTCGGGCTAATCTTCGCAAGAGCTTCATAGCAAACATTGATCTGTAATAAAACCACAACGTGTGTTCCGGAGAAGATTCCAGACACGGAGAGATCCAGACACCACGCAGACACACACACACACACACACACACACACACACACACACACACACAGGCACACGCACGGCGCTGAGAGGCAGACACCAGCAGCCCGGAAAACACCGCTAAACATGGACTCACGCCGAGTCACATGCACATCCCCTCCCGCCATAAACATCGTCCTTCAACACCCGGGCCTTCGCTGGCAGCCGCCGTCCCCGTGTTGTCCTGGCACTTTGCACACAGCTCTGTAATAGACTCGCACTTGGCATTATAATTATTTGTTAGCCAGTTTGTCTTCTCCGGCAATCTGAAGATTTCCTAAGGGAAGAAATCTTGTCTTGTGCAAGTGTTACCCTCAGCATCCAGCAGGCAGCTCGGAATTTAGTTAGTGGGAGTGGGTGGGTGGGGGGGGGTGCTTCATAAATAATGGTTGGATTGCCGAACAGGAATAAACGCATCTAGGCAGTGATATCCCCCCTCCCCCCACGGCCCCTCAGAAGCACAGAGGACACCAGGTACGTGCTGCTCACGCCTCTGGCCCACCTTCTTGTCTCTTAGAGCCCGGATCTTACAAAGGCCCCTTCTTCCTTCCTCTTCACTCCATGCAAGACCATGCATTTGAGGCCGGCCTGAGGGCTGGCAGGCAGGGTAAGGGTTAATGACACCTCATTAGGGTTTAATTGGAGGAAGGAAGCTGCCCTGGCACCAGACAGGTGGGCAGGCCTGGCCTTGGCTGGAAGCGGGCCTCCCCTGTTCCAGCACCCTGCCAGGTGTGTGCGCTATTTGGCCCTGGAGAGCCTCAGCCCGGTCGGGGGCACCTCCCCCCACCGTTTGCTTTGCCAACTTAGTCTCCAGGCAGTACAGACCAGTCCTCCCCATCTGTCACCACACATTCGGAGGGGGGTCAGGCTTCTTGTCCTTTCTCTGTGCCCCGCCCACCTCAGGAGGCACCGGAGGCTGGGGAGAGGGGTCGGGTAAGGAACTGGACAACTGAGAGACAGCAGAAGGGGTGGGTTTGGGATCCAGACTGCGACGGAGAAAGACAGCCACGGGGAGGCTCAGAACTTGGGAGATGTCTGCCCAATTTGACCTTAAATGAAGAGAATGCAAATGAGATGCAGACGATATGCAGATGAACACCAGGAGGATCTCAGCATTTACATTCCCGGTGTAGCGTAGCTCTGCTCCCAGGACCCCTCCTCATCGCCCTGGCGTAAGCGGCCCTGACCGTGACTCCTTGAGAAGAGCTGGGCTGGGCCAGAGCCTCAGGACCTGGGGCGCTGAGCTCCACCCGTCACCCTGCCCTCAACCCAAGCGCCACCAAGGTGCCAAGATGCCAGTGGAACTGCGCTAACCACTCTCCAGGTAGAGCTGGGACGCACTGTCCGTTGCTATGGGGACCCCTCCCACGTCCAAGCCTGAACCAATGGGCGTCCCTGCTGATGACCTCATGCCCTAGGCTCCGGAATTCTATTGGTTATTTGGAGGCCATCGTACCCCTCGCCAGCTGCATCAGGGCTGGGGATCCCCATGACTAGTGTGGCCTACTGAGAGAAGGGCATGCTGGGAGCTCACAATTTGCTGAATGAATGAAGGGGGGGGGGGGGATGAGTCACAAAAAGGTCAAAACTTCAGTGTTTTGCCTGAAGGGAGATTTGTACCCCCCCACACCCCCCTAAAGAATGGAGTGGATCAGGCTCTCCGGGCGGAGGGAGTGAGCAGAGATGAGTGGAGTTTTCGCCTGTTGGGAGAGAGTAGGGCAGGCCCAGCAAATTGAGGGCCTCACCCTCTGCCGGCTAGCGCTGCTGAGTTTAGGGGAGACCGGTGACGCCCCAAAACTTGCAGAGCTGCCCAAGCCTCCTGGAACCGCGCCCGGAACACGCCTGGAGGACTTCTCGTGGGGAGGAGGGAGGGCGGGCCGCACCGGAAGCCTGCCTGCCCGGCCTCGGAGCGGACTCACTCCCGCTCTCCACGGGGACTTCCCCGGGAAGGTGTCAGGGCCCGGGCCGGGCGGGGAGTGAGGGCAGGGCGGCCGCCTGGCCCGAGTTCGAGGCTCCCTTCACCGCCTCCACCCTCCAAAGGGCAGAGCTGCCGAGGTGTCGCCCTGGCACCTGCAGGGAGCTGGGCGGCCGGGAGGGCCTGTGCCTGTGTCCAGGGTGCGACCACAGGGTGGGCGGGGCGGGGTGAGGTCCCAGCCGCCGGCCCGGGGCTCTCTCCTGCCTCCTGGCCCGGTCTGCTCAGAGGGTCCCGCCTGGGTCTGTGGGGAGCAGAGCCCTCACAGTCTCAGCGCAGGGCCGGGCTGCTAACCAGGGGCCGCCTGCCCCGCCTGCGGCTCCCCTGGAGAGTGTGGGGGCAGTGCGGGTGGATGACAGGGCGACACAGACATGCATTCCGATGGCAGTAGGTGGAACCCAGAATCACAAGACAGCCTTCAGCTCTCGCAAGTCCGCGCACTCCAACCCCCTTGCCCCTCCCCCTCCCCCTGCTAGAGATGGCTTGAGATGAGGCCCTGACTCCCACCTACCCAGGCCTCGAACCCACAGACAGGCATGTTCTGAAAGGGCCTCCCTCAGCCCGAGCGATGGGATTACCAGAGGGACCGGGCTGCCCTAGGTGCTCTCGGGGTGGGGGAGGGGTCCACAGTCCCAGCATTTCAATCTGCCAGTCTCCGGCCCCCACACCCCCACCCCACCCCACCCCACCCCACCCGGGCGTTCACACTCTGCCTCTCGCTGCCGCAGCCGCGGAGCTAATGAGCACAACATCCACCTATCGATCCGGGCGCAGTGCCAGGCGGCCGGCACTGAGCTGAGCCACGGAGGCCGGGGGGGGGGGGGGGGGCACCGGGGAGGTAGAACACAGCCTGGGGGGCGCAGGAAGGGGTGCCTTTCCCCCTGGCTCCACCCAGGACATCATGTGGAAAGAGGGCCCGATGAGTCTGGGGGGATCACAGCCTGGTCTGCAGGGGGAGGAGTGTGGGGCTGAGAGCAGAGGGGGCCCTCCCCTCCCTCCTTGTAAAAGCCGAGAACAAAGAGGCGCTGGGGATGGAGGCTTTGATCCGACCCCACCTTCCCGGTTCCAGACCGGCCCCGCCCAGACTGCTCCTGGGAGGGAGAGACGCCCAGCTCTCGGGGACCCACGCGTCCTGAAACCAGGGTGCTGCCTTCCCATGGCACCGCCTGGCACTGCCACCGCAGCTCGGGCACTGCCCCAAGTGGGTGGGCTGCCAGGAGCATCCACCCTCGCCTCGGCACAGGAAGCCAGCTGGGGGGGGGGGGCGGGGGCCCAAGCTCCACAGCTGCTGCTGGCACCCTCTCCACTCTGCCCAGAGGGGTGCCCACGGAGGCCTGGCATGGCTGGCCTGGACACAGTTGGCACGGAGGTCAGGCCAAGCCACGCCGAGAGCAGAGGCCGCAGGGAGTCCCGGTGTCAGGGAAGGGGCAGGGGGCAGGAGGTTGAGGAGAGCAACAAAAGAGATGGGCGGTTTATTGAGGGCTTGGTCCAGGAACTTATAAAAATACAAACTGGCAGGAAATTCGGCCTCATGGCAAGTCTGTCTTCACAGAAGACGAGTGAGTGACCCCTGGGAGGGAGGTGTTGCCCTTGGGCAGGGGCCCGCAGGGCACTGGGCACTGGGCAGGCCTGGGCCGCTGCCTCGCCCTGGTCCTTCAAGGGTTCAATCCCCCGATTCCAGTCTTCCCGGGAGACGGATGGCGAAGGCCACGGAAGCAGCAGTGGAGGCCGGGCTTAGCCTGCCTTCGCTCCAGATGCCCAAGGCCGAGGGCAGCTCCCCCGCGGCTCCTCTTCAGCCGGGGATGAGGGGGCCAGCACGGCCGGGGTCACGTCAGACCCTCTGACTCCCCTCGCCACGCCTCCATCTTGTCTGTCCGGCGTGGCACTCCCAGCTCAGGTGCAGGGGCTCCTCCAGGCAGTCCTGGGAAGGCGCTGGCTCCTGGGGTGGCAGGAAGGGTCCCCTTGGCTCAGAGAACTCGCAGGAGACGAAGGATGGGGAGCAGCAGCAGCGGCAAGAGGCAGAGGGGGCTGCGAGTGCCCCCCGCTCGCCACCCCGATGTGCCACTCTCTCCGGGGCTCCCGACGGGATGGGCGGACTCAGACTCTGCGAGGGGGAGGGGAGCACCGCTGTGTCCTCCGTTCCTGCTCCCCGTGAGCGGTTCACCCCCATCCTGTTCTCCAGGATCCTTCAAATCGGCTGCTGCCTCCCCACAACCGGCCACCTTGTCCTCCCCAAAACCCAGCTTCCCGGTCTCCCCCAAACGGCCGGTGCGGACTACCAGCTCGGCCGAAGCTTTCGAAGGCCTGGCGCCCGGAGGAGTGGCTCTGCACACAGGCTGCAGTGGGCGCCCCCACAGGCCGCACAGGGGAGGGGCCCGTGCTCACAGCCCTCCCCGAACCCCTCCAAGCCTCCCAGACCTGCCCTCCTTCCCCAGACGGGCCCCTCGCCGGAGGACTGCTGCCCGGGCCCCCCCACTTACTGCTCTCCTTGCAGCAGACGGACACCTGGAGCCTCAGACACCGGCCAGGACTCCCGGGCGTGGGCACGGCTGGTGGGGGAGGGAGGCGAGCGTTAGCGCGGGCTGGCTCGCAGACTCCGAGTCAGGCCCTCCCACGTTCTCCTCTCGGCAGTCCCTGGAAAACTTTTCCCTCCTTCTGGGCCCCGTCCAGGTGCCAGGCCCCGTCCACGGCGGCTCCTCAGCCCCTCAGCCCCTCTCCTAGCTCCTCCTCCTCCTTCCCCTCTAGAGACTCACTCTGGATGCCCCCTCGGTCCTGGACTCAGGGCCCCGCCAGCCCCCCCTTCTCTGACCACAGCCCCTCCTGCCTCCGGTCCCAGGTCTGGTCCTCGTTCCTGGCCCACCCCTCCTCCTCACCTTGGGCTGTCTGCCCCTCCCCGCTCCCCCCCCCCCCCCCCCCCCGAGGCCGCAGCGCGCCCCGCACTCACAGATGTAGTAGTAGGTCTCTCCCGGCAAGAACTCGAAGCCAAGGGAGAAGGGCGTGAAGCGCTGGATCTTCTCGGAGAACTTGACCGGCCCGAAGGGAGCAAAGGGCAGGGAGCACTCCCAGCGCTTGAAGGCACCCGCCCCCTGTGCCTGGCAGGCCTCGTAGCCCGACCAGTCCACCATGTACAGGGCAAACGTCTCGGGGCCCTCGGGGGGCCCGGGGCCCTCATAGTGAGGGCAGAAGATGTCCAGGTAGTCGTTGAGGCCCAGCTCCACCACCGCGTCTCCTCGGAGCAGCCTGCGGACACAAGGGGTCACGGTGGGCTGAGGGGCCACTGTGGGGCAGACCCGGGCAGCCCCTGCCCTGCCCTCTGGCGAGATCTGTGTTCTCTAGACGGACAGCTTCGGGGGACAGAGAGAGGGAAGAGATGGGCAGCAGGTCCCAGGCGCAGAGGTGAAGGCCGCAGTCTCGCACCCAGCGGCTCCCGGGAGAAGCCCTCACCACTCCTACCTGCGGTGTCGGAGCTGCCCATCTCTCCAGCCCGGCCCGCCGGGGCCTGGCTCAGCTCCTGGGCCTCATAAACGTTAGCCGGACGGACGGCTGCTGCGAAGGAGCTGGGACGGGGGCAAGGGGCAGAGACCTGGGCCCACAGGGCGGTCACAGGGATGGAGAGTGGGAGCAGTGTCCTCTTTATTATTTTTAATTTTTAAAATTTTTAATGTATTTTATTGATTTTTTTTATGAGAGGGAGATAGAAACATCGGTGAGAGTCATCGATCAGCTGCCTCTTGCACGCCCCCTACTGGGGACGTTCCCGCAACCAAGGTACATGCCCTTGACCGGAATCGAACCCAGGACCCTTCAGCCCGCAGGCCAACGCTCTATCCACGGAGCCAAACCGGTTTCGGCCAGTATCCTCTTTAAAAGATGTCCTTGAGCTCTCAGTCCAATGCTGAAAAGAACGCCAACAGGGGAGTGGATGGTGGGTGGCCCCTCTTTTTTATTTATTTTTTGCCAGGACAAGTGCCAGACGTGGAGGGGAGCCCCCTGCACGTATCCCCCATCTTCAGCCTCCTCAGCACGCCCTCCCCCACCTCTCCGGAGCTGCCTGGGGAGCCAGTGCCTGCAGGAAGGACTGGGACACACGGCCCCCCACCATCAAACACAGCATGCACCACGCCCCCTCCCCACCACACCGACCCACAACCCCCTTCATGTAGGACAGGCCTCCAACTGTCCCCCAGGGGGTGGTCCAAAGGCCACCAGTGTCAGGAGTTCTGATTAGAAATGCAGGTTCCGCCAAAGCCGGTTTGGCTCAGTGGACAGAGCATCGGTCTGCGGACTGAAGGGTCCCAGGTTCGATTCTGGTCAAGGGCATGTACTTTGGTTGCAGGCACATCCCCGGTGGTGGGTGTGCAGGAGGCAGCTGATGGATGTTTCTCTCTCATGGATGTTTCTAACTCTCTATCCCTCTCTCTTCCTCTTTGTAAAACAATCAATAAAATATATTTTAAAAAATGCAGGTTCCTGGGGATCAGCTCAGACCTACCAGGACACAGGTCGGGCCTTTGTACGTTTCCTTTTGCCGGATCCTTAGTGCCCTGAGGAGTGTCCGGCACCAGGACAGCGCTCGGTACATATTTGTGAATTGAGGGAATGAACCAGAAACCTCAGCGTTGGGGGTTAGGAACCTGAATTTTTAACAAGTCCTCTGAGCGGTTCAGAGCCCTGGTCTGGAACCCGGAGAGAGGCATTCCTAGCAGGAAGACAACAGTGCTCTTATCATATGGTGTTGGTATTGTAACGCCCTGTCCGGGCCTGCCCTCCCCGGGGGGCATTCAGGCTCTGGGAGGACAGCCTAGGTCTTATCTTTCCGGTCCCTGGCCCTTGGCCCCGGGCCCCGGCTCAGTCCCATACACAGTCCGCTCCTAATAAACGTGAGTGAGTGAATAAATAAATACAGTCACACTTTTGAAGAAAACAGTGAGGTCAGACGACGTGCCCAAAGGTGATTCGGCTGGAAGGGCAGGGCCCAGACGGGAGAGGAACAGGAGGACAGGGATCAGGACCCAGACGGAAGCAAATGGGAGAGATCACCAACCGGAGTGAGTGAGGGTCGGCGGGCAGGTCCGGTGAGCAGGAGGAGCCCCCTCCCAGGCTGGGGGAGGCCGGGGAGCCCCCCGAAGAGAGGCGAAGGGGGCGGGGCCCGGGGGGCAGGCCAAGGCCCCTGGGCCGGGCTCGGGGAGCCTACCTACCGGGATCGGGACTGGGGCTCTCTGCGCGCCCCCCAACACGTGCGGGTCGGGGGCGCCCCAGGGCACGCCTCGCCCCTCCCCCTCCCCCGCCGACTCAGACAAAGGAGCCCCGGCGCGCGGCCCGGTGCGGGCGGGTGCGGGCGGGCGGCGCGGCGCGCGGGGCGAGCCGGGGGGGCGCGCGCGCCCGGCCCCGGGGCGCCCAGGCCCGGCCGGGGGTGCGGCCCGGCTCGGCGCGGCTACCTGGGGTTGCTGGCGTTCCAGTAGAAGTCGTGGCGGAGGCCGGCGCCCCCGGGCAGCGGGGAGCCGAGCAGCGCGGCCCACAGGACGGCGTGCAGCAGGGGCAGCAGCCGCATCGCCCCCCGCGCGCGGTCCGGTCCGGTCTGGTTCGGCCCGGCCCGGCCCACTTGGCTCCGGCCGCCGCGAGAAAGGTACAAAGTGGGGAGGGGCGGGGGGGTGCGGGGGCCTCGCGGGCCACGCCCCCCGACAACTTTCCGCCAATGGGAGCGCGGCCCCGCCCCCGCGCGCGGCGCCAGCTCCGGTTAACCCCCTGCGCGCCCGTTAGCGGCGCAGGTTAGCGCGGTGCCCCGCGAGGCCGGACCGGGCCGGGCGGGGGCGGAGGGCGGTCCTCCCCTCTCCACGCGGGTCACAAAGGGGGGCTGTACCCTCCGTGCTCGCCTCGGTGCGGGGCAGAGGGCGTCCTGCGGGTTTGGAAGATCTAAACGGCAGCGCACGCCCTTTGCCCGGGAAGAGTAAGGCGAGGCCGGAGCCAGGACCCGCGCAGCCTGTCCCGCCGCCTTAGCCCGCCGCCCGTGGTCCTTGCACGTCTAAGGACGGCGCTGGGGGTCGGGGCAACTGGCCTGCGCCCCCCCCCCCGAGCTTTCCATACTGAGCCCGATGCCCACCTTGGGGCTGGCGCCTGTCCCTCCCGCCCCGCACCTCCGTCCCGGGCTGGGGGCCGCGCGGCCCGGCGCCGAAGACGCAGGAATGAGGCGGCTTCGGCTCGTACAAAGCACCTTTGTTCCCGGGCCCTCAGGTGGGGGCGGGGAGGAGGCAGGTGCGTGGCCTCGGGATCGTGGGAGCCGCTGCCGCCGGGCCCCACCCCGGCTCCAGGGCGCTGGGAACGCCGGCCAGATCCACTTTTCCCAGCCGCCCGTCAGAGGGCGGGGTCGGCGGGCTCGGCGGCCTGGCTGCGGGGTCCGATGGTCGCCCCTGGGCGCTGGGGGCGAAGGCCGGGCGGCCAGGGATGGCGAAGGGGCGCACGCTCTCTTTGGCAATAGATGGTCCGGAGAGCCCCCCCAAGCTGGGCAGGAATGAGCTGCGAGCATCTGGGGGCGCCGGCTGTTCCAGCCTGGGACTCTGGTCCTCCCAATCCAGTCTTCGTCTGGGGCGACAGCGTCCCCTGGCGGCCAGATGAACCGCAACGAGAGGGGGAGGAGGGGGGAGGGCGACCCAGACTTGCCAGAGCAGACAAATTCCGAGGCAGGCAAGCTCCTAAAATCTTCCGTTTATTACAGAGAGACTGCGCGCACTGCACCTCCCTCAGCCGGGTCCAGCGCCCACCCTATCCATAACTGTGCGCGCAGGTCCCCAGAGTGCAGTCCTGCAGCTCGGGGAGTGTCTTAAGAGGCCTGCTCCCTCGGGTGCAGCCCCGCAGCTCCGGGAGTGTCTTAAGAGGCCTGCTCCGTTGCATCCAGGCTCTGGCTCCTTCCATCACCGCGGAGGAGTGTGTGGAGGGGTGCCCCAGGGGCCGGCCACGCCTCTGAAAGTCCTAGGTTGGGTTGGAGGCAGATGGAACGCCAGAAGAGGTCAGAGGTAGAGGGAGGGCATAGCTGGGGGCGGTGGTGCAGGCCTGGGGTGCCGGAAGCAGAGAAAAGAGGTCAGAGGTTCCCTTTCTCCCCAGACCGCTGGCCCTGTCCGCCCACTCTTTTCAGCGCCCTCCTTGCCCACCTGGAAGGTACCACCAGGGGCGGGATTCCAGCTCCTGGACCAGGCTGGTCACTTGCAGGACACAGGCCCTGGGGGTCTGCCGGGAGTGGCTTCCTCGGGGGCGGGGGCTTGGCAGGCCCCTGAGACTGAGAGAGAGAGAGCAGGTAGGACACAGGCTTGGCGGAGGCTGTCATGTTGGCCCCCCTCACCCCACCATGTACTGGTGCTGGGAACACCAGCTGTGGGGGGTTGGGGGAGCACCGGAGGTTTCCATCTGTCACCATAAGAGTACCAGTGGGGTATGTGCCCTCAGGCACAGAGGGGAGATCTCGCCACGGCCACAGCCACGGCCACCACAGCCCTGGATGGTGGGAAAGGCTGTGACCTTCTCTCCCCCCACTGTTACCTTCGGGTGCCTCACCACTGGGTCAGCGGGCAGAGGGCGGGTGGGGGGATTAGGTCGGTCAGCCAGCGCAGCCTGAACAGAGAGAGGGGCAGTGACTGTGAGAGCACATCGAGGGGCAGTGAGCATGCAGAGGTGCCCCCGAGGGGTTCAGACCAACATGCACAACCAGCCAGAGGGCAGGAGCACGGGCACATGCGCACGGGGGCTTGGGTGCATGCCTTGGGTGCATGCCGGCAGATGTCTGGGGGAGGAAGGTGTGGGTCACCGTGCTGTCCCTGGCCCGCTGCAGTCCCGCCTCTGACCACCAGGTGGCGGTAGAAGCCAAGGCAGGAGGCTCACCCTTTGCTGCTTCTGGGGCTCAGAGTGTCTGAAGGCTGAGGGGCACCCTGGTCCCCTAAGGAAGAGCACCGCCGGCAGGGAACAGGGGTGAGAACGGCAGTTGGGCACCACGCCTCCCGCCGGCCCGGAGCCAGGGCAGGGCCTGGCCCAGATTTACCTGGAGTCTCTTGGGCACAGGGTCAGGAGGCAGTGGCCGTGAAGGGGGTGCCGGGAAGCCAAGAGCACTAGCCTGCTGAGGTCGCAGGAGGAGCAGACAGGCAGAGTGGGGGGTGGGGGAGGGAGCAGAGAGAGAGAGACAGATGTGGGCAGAGAGGGTTAGTGCCCAGGAGGGGCCGCTAGGACCCCAGGGACAATGGGGTTGTGCATGCCGTTATTCATTTGCATGCAGAGGGGGTGACAAGTGGTAGACTGGGCACGGAGACCGCCTCCACACACATACTCCTATCATCGGATCCAGAGGGCTCCGGGCGAGAGCACTCACCAGCCCTCTACACGTGGTGAACATGAAGGCCGTCCTGGGTCCCACCCTCCCTTTCCTGCCAGGGACCCCAGCTTGGTCCCAAAGCCACAGCGTGGTGAGCTCCAAGGTCAGCAGACCCTCCTTGAGGCCCTGCCCCACCCCACTCGGCTGAGGAACCACTGCACTTGGTTTCTCAGCGGCAACCCGAGGAGGAAAGGGCTGGCCCGCTCCTTTGACTGACTCTTGGGGGCTGTGAGTCTTTCTCTGGGCCCACCCCGGGGCCCACGCTGGACGCCAGGCCGGAATGGAATTCTCCCTCCTCTGGCATTTGGGACTCACCTTGACACCTGGCATCAGCTGGGCCCTCTGCGGGGGTCCAGGGCGTTCTGGGGGACCAGGCTGAGCTGCCCTAAGCATGGAGAAAGGCAGGAGGGAGAGGGCTCAGCCTCAAACCCTGTTCTCCACCCATATGCCACTCGTGAGTGGGATTAATCCTTTGCAGCCCCTTGACAGGAGCATGTGTGGGGCGTAGGCCCAATGGGTGGGGGGCAGTAGCTGATCAACCTGGGAACCTACTTCCCCAGCACAGGGGCTCCTGGCGGGGAGTGATCCTAGCCCCCCAGCTTACCCCCTCAGGTCCACCGGTCTACGTGTGAGGCGAAGCGTCCAGGGAACAGGGAGGGAAGGGAGGTGTGTTGGGGTGTGGCCCCAAGGGGCTGGGGGTGGGAGCCAGGTGGCAGGGGCTGCAGAGGGGGTAGGGGCAGGGCTCCGGGCTGCTGTCCCCCAAAGAGTTGTGGAGGGCAGCTGGCAGCAGGGAGGCTGGTACCTGTACTGGCAGCTGGGTCCCTTGAGCTGGCAGAGTCGCTGGCGCAGGCGGGCACGGTACCAGTAGCTGGCACCAAGCAGCACCAAGATCAGCAGCAACAGGAGGCTGAGGAGCAGTCCTGTGGTCAGGGACCTGGAGGCTGTGAGGTGCAGGCAAGTTTGAAGGTGAGTGGGGCTGAGAACCCCACACCCAGGAAGGGGCAGGGGACAGGGAGTCAAGTCAGGGGCTCAGAGAAAGGGGGGAGGCAGGGGTCCCAGAGTCAGGGAGCCAGCCATGAAGGGGCAGGAAAATGAGAGGGGTAAAGGATGAGCCCTCCCAGCTGCCCCTGCCCCCCGGCCTTGCCACCTCTGATCCGGGCACTGCAGTCAGGGGGCGCCCAGCCCTCCTCACAGTGGCAGAGCCTGTTGCTGTCGCAGACCTAGGAGGGACAGGTTGAACAAACCATGAGGGGCTCTGCATTCTGGGGCCGAGTTTCCCTGCCCCCAGCTTTTCAGGATCTCAGATATCCGCCAAAACCGGTTTGGCTCAGTGGATAGAGCGTCAGCCTGCGGACTGAATGGTCCTGGGTTCGATTCCGGTCAAGGGCATGTACCTTGGTTGTGGGTACATCCCCGGTAGGGGATGTGCAGGAGGCAGCTGATCGATGTTTCTAACTATCTCTCTCCCTTCTTCTCTGTAAAAAAAATCAATAAAATATATATTTTTTAAAAATCTCAGATATCCACAGCTGGCAGGTGAGCTGGGGGTTGCAGGGGGCAGAGAGCCAGCATCTGGGGGTCTTTATGCTGAACTACCACTGTGAGTGCCTTCCAGATGCCGGGCACCAAGCTAGAAGCTTCCAGACCCATCGCATGTGGCTCAGGAAGGGGTACTGTGCCCATGGGACAGAGGGGGACGCAGAGCTCAGAGGGGAGAACTGCCCCAGGCCAGGCAGCCAGAAGAGCGAGGATCGGAACCGGGTATGTCTGTTGCCAAAGGCCTGGAGGCTCCCTGCCCCCCTTCCTCATTCCCACGCCAGCTCACCCCGTGCCCGTTGCACTTGCTGCGACATTCCTGTGCTCCCAGGAGGTCCAGGGGCTGGCATCGATGGTCGATGCACACCTGCCCGACGGGGAAGCAAGAGCAAGGATCACATTCCGGCAGAACTTACCGGCATGGGGAGCCCACATGGCTCAGGCCGCACCCTGCCTTTTCCGATGGGAAGACCAAGGCTCAGAGGAGGACAGGACGTGGCTCAGTCACGAGCGTGCGAACTCCCCTCCGATCCGTGCCTTGTACATGGGCGGGCGGTGAGGCCTGCGTCCTCCCCGAGGTCCACACATCCCTCCCCGGAGGCTGGCTCACCCGGGCTGCTCACCAGGCCGGGGCCGCAGGCCGTGCCGGGCAGGGCCAGCAGCGGCTGGGCCACGTCGCTGCCCAGGTCCAGGTGCATCCAGCTGCAGTTGAGCCGGGTCCCGTTGGCGTCCAGTACCTCCCAGTGCAGATCCCGGGCTGAGCCCAGCAGAGGCCAGGCCAGGCCCCCCCGGCACTGGAGCTGCCCGCACACGGCATCTCTGGGGGGAGGAAGGAGGCACGGCTCTGTGGGAGTGGGGCCACGGCTCCCACAGACCCAGGAGAGGAGCCGCGTATTCCCCCACGTACCTCGGGTCACAGGACAGGTAGCCGCCGGCAGGACCGCGCCCACAGCTCCCGAAGGCGTCCCCCCGCGTATTGGCAGCGAGGAGGCAGCGGGGAGCGGCGGGCTGGGCTCCCGGCCCCCAGAGAGCCTGGCACTGCTGGGCGTAGGAAGCACAGCGCCCTCGCACGCACACCGCCTGTCCGCCGTCACACGGCTCGCCGTCCCCCAGGCTGACGTCGGGAGGGCACTGGGGGCTGTCTCCGGGGCAGAACTCAGGCAAGTCACAGTCCCCTCTCTTTGGACGGCACGGCCAGCCCACCGGGCGCAGCTGTGGGGGGCGGGTGAGGGTCCGTGTGGGTGCCGGGCAGACCCAGCCAGGCCCTGGGAGTCAGGGTGACTCTGTCCGCGCCGGCCCCTGGCACAGGAGCTCTGGAAGACCAGCCCACCTGGCAGTTGTGACAGCAGGGTCCGTCGGACGCACACTGTGCCCCGGGCCTCAGCTGGCAGGTGATGTAGTCACAGCAGGGGTCGGTGCAGTCCTGGGGGCCAGGGCACAGAGGGGCTGGGCGTCAGAGCAGGGCCTACCTCCGATCCCTCTCCAGAGCCTGACCCCCAAGGATGCCCATAGCAAGTATAAGCTACAGCCCAACCGTCCCCATGCCATCTCTGCAGACAGGGAGGAGGGGGATGGGGGAGAGGGCTCCTCAGAACCCAAGAGGGGCTCAGGGGGCATGGAGGGAGCCCGTGAGCCAGGGCCAGGGCACAGGAGTGAGTGGGGCAAGGCTTTGGGGGGGGCTCACATCCGGGAAGTCACAGCTGTGCTGCTTGCTCAGCTCCACCATCTTGTTTCCTTGGACAGTCGCCATGGAGGACAGGCGGGGCAGTTGCTCGAAGAGGCAGCTGCCCATCCCGTCCAGGAGGGCTCTCTCCAGGGCCCGGCGGCTGCAGTTGCTGAAGTTCAGGCCGGGCAGGAAGCTGGGGAGGGCGGCAAGGAAGGCTGGGGCTGTGGACCACCCGCTGACCCCTGCCCAGCCCCTCTCTGCAGCCTGCCGTCACTCACTCCGTGGAGGCCTCCATGATGCAGCTCTTGGCGGGGGCGGGGCCTGGGCAGGGGCAGCTGTTCCCAGGTGGGTCATGGTCCAGGCCCAGGCTGTGGCCCAGCTCATGGGCTATTGAGGAGGCAACTCCCAGGATGCTCACGGAGTGGTCCTAGGGGGAAGGAGTATCCCGGGTCCAACACCAGCCTAACTGCTCCCGTTCTCTCCTCGTCTGACCTCGCGGGCACTCGGTTGCCTCTCTCCTTAGTTGCTTCTAAAGCAGGAGGAGAGCCAGGCCAGCGTGGCTCAGTGGTTGAGCACTGACCTATGAGCCTAGAGGTCACAGTTCGATTCCCAGACAGTGCATATGCTAAGGTTGCTGGCTCAATCCCCAGTGGGGGTTGTGCAGGAGGCAGCCAGTCAAATGATTCTCTCTCATCGTTGAGGTTTCTATCTCTCTCTCTTCCTCTCCCTTCCTCTCTGAAATCAAGAAAAATATATTACAAATGAATGAATGAATAAAATAAATAAATAAAGTGGTAGGAGAGCCCGGGCCTGGGGGGGCAGGAAAACTGGGTTTGTTCTCCCTCCCTCGCTGTCGGGTCCTGGGAGATCACCTCTGTTCTTTGGGCCTCAGCTGTCCCCCCACCCCCTACCCCCCCCCAAAAAAAGGGAAAACCTTCCAGGTGAAGACTGTACACTGATGAGCTGGCCATCAGGGAGGGTGCCCTGACTGCAGACTCCACATGCTGCTCCCTGCTCTCCACACCCCCCATTTGGGGTTGGGTAACTGTGTAGGGGGTTTCAGGGAGCACATGGTACCCCCAGGAGGAACTTAGTTGGGAATGGGCAAGAGACCCGGAGACCGCTCACCATGTTCACGCCTCCCGAGTAGTCAGGAGAGCAGATGGAGTTCTGGATGGCCATGCCCACCACGGGCCCAGAGAACGAAGTAGCTCTGTGTGGAATCGAGAAGTCAAAGGTCAAGGCCAAAAGCCAGGGGAGGCTAGAGCGTCGGGGCCTTAGGTGGGGAGCTGGGCTGTACAGCTGCCGGGTGAGGGCGGAGCTGGCCCCACGGACCCAGCCCGGGACCTTACGTCACCAGCTGGGCGCTGTCGTGGGGCAGACGGCGCAGTAAGCTGGTGCGGCGCCAGCGAAGGAAGTTGTCCAGCGTGACGCCCGGGTCGTGGCTTATCTCTACCAGGTCTTTGTGCGTCCAGGCCTCCAGGCCCACGAGGGCCACGCGTACATTCAGGGGCCGGAAGAACTGAAAAAGCGCCGGCGGGGCTCAGGAGCGGGGTTCCGCGGCAAGGGGGCGGGGGTGCCATCCAGCCTGGCACTCACCGTGTCCAGGAGGAGCGCCACCTCCAGGGTACGGTTCAGCAGGTACTGGAAGTCTGGGTACCGCTGGACCTGCGGGTAAGAGTGGTGCCCGTGACAGCTGGCAGGGCAGGTGGGGGCCGGGCAGGACAAGCAGGGGCCAGCACGCTCACCTCTGAATGGTCAGCTACCACCATGAGCTCAATAATCTTCGTCTCGGTCACCACATCCCGCCTCCGCTGTGGACGAGAAGGAGCATCAGGCAGGCGGGCCGCTCACTGCCAGCGGCCGCAGGGCTGGCCGAGCCGTGTCCGCCTCCACCCGCCCGGAGGACGGGAAGAGCGCCTTTTACAGAGGAACCGGGGGAGCCTAAGAGGCGAGGGACTGGCCCAATGCAGGCCCGGAAGTAAGCTAGGAAGCCTGCGGACTGAAAGGTCCCGGGTTCGATTCCGGTCAAGAGCATGTACCTTGGTTGCAGGCACGTCCCCATTAGGAAGTGTGCAGGAGGCAGCTGATCAATGTTTCTCTCTCATCGATGTTTCTAACTCTATCCCTCTACCTTCCTCTCTGTAAAAAATCAATAAAATATATTTTAAAAAATAAAATAGTAATAATAATAATAATAATAGCCCTGACTGGTTTGGCTCAGTGGATAGAGCATCGGCCTGCGGACTGAAAGGTCCCAGGTTCGATTCCGGTCAAGGGCATGTATCTTGGTTGCAGGCACATCCCCAGTGGGGGTGGGGGGTGTGTGTGCAGGAAGCAGCTGATCAATGTTTCTCTCTCACCGATGTTTCTAACTCTCTGTCCCTCTCCCTTCCTCTCTGAAAAAATAAAGTATATTAAAAAAAAAAATAACAATAGCCAAAACCATCAAATACTTACCCTATGCCAGGCACAGTTCTAAGCACTTTACATACATATTGAGTCACTAAATTTTCATAGCAACCCTATAACATCCGTAGTTTTATTATCTCCATTTTACAAATTAGGAAACTCAGTTTTCATTGCTTTATTATTAATAACTATGTATTTTCTATATCAATGTGAGCTCTCTACATAGGGGATCATAAGACATGAGGAGTTGGGATCTACCCCTGTTTCCCTGAAAATAAGACAGTGTCTTATATTTTTTTCTCCCAAAGTTGCGCTAGGTCTTATTTTCAGGGGATGTCTTATCTTTCCATGCGCTAGGTCTTATTTTCGGAGGATGTCTTATTTTTGGGGAAACACGGTAGTATATACCTCTAAATCTTTGCTATACCATTTCTTAGTTGAATGGCTTTCGGCAAGTCATTTGATATCTCTCAGCACCCGCCTCCCGGGGTTGCTGGGAAGAGTAAAGGAGACAATGTTCATGAAGTGTCTGCCACGTGGAAATCGCTCCGTTAGCAGGAGCTGTGGTTACTGAGGACGAATTGCCCTGAAGGTCTGGGCCAGCCCTCCGGCCATTCCTCCTTACCCGGCGCCTGTGGCTCTGTCCCAGGGGGCGCTCTGGTTCACGTGAGCTCAGGGTGCAAGAGTGGCCCGGCGCTGGGAGATCCTGGATCCGGGAGACAATGGGGGGACCCTGAAGGTCCCCAGGCCTCAGCTCCAGGCTGTAGCTTTTCTCGGGGGACAGGATCACCAAGCCCCTGGGGAAAGATGCAGAATGTCAGACAACGTCTCAGCTCCATGCCTCACGCCCTGCCGTCTCAGCGCCGTGGACTCTCCCCGTGGTACCTGAGCCCGGAGCAGGTGCAGACGGAGGCCCAGGAGTCTGCGTGGCCCCGCACGCCGCCCTGGTAGCAGCAGTCCTCCTGCAGCACAGAACAGAGTGCCCGTTGGCAGGGGCACAGCCAGGGTCTCAGCCCGGGAGGCTTGCCTGTGGGTTAAGATACGTAGCATCTTCCCACATCCTCCAGGGATGGCCCCCTCCCGCCGTCCCCTCCCGCCGTCCCCTCAGGCCAGAAACAGGGCCCAGGGGGCCTGACTCACCAGGGTGTGCCCCTCACTGACCACCCTGGTGCCATCGGGTTGGTACCACACCACGGTTGGGTGGCCTGGGACCAGCTCCCTGGGGAGTGAAGACAAAGGAGAGCGGGATCAGCTCTTGCCCTGGGTGCTGCAGTGCCAGCCTGAGGCCTGAGGGTGACAGAGGGTTAACTGGGTGCCTTCCTGCTTCCCCCAGAGGCAGCAGAGCACAGTGGTTAGGCCACAAATTCTGCCAGGCTTTCTGGGTTCCAACCTGGATTTCACCACACACTAGCTGTGTGACCTTGGGCAGGTCATATAACCTCTCTGTGCCTTGACTTCTTTATATATAAAATGAGGACAATAATAATAGTATCTGCCGAAACCAGTTTGGCTCAGTGGATAGAGCGTCGGCCTGCGGACTGGAGGGTCCCGGGTTGGATTCCGGTCAAGGGCATGTACGTTGGTTGGGGGCACATCCCCGGTATGGGGTGTGCAAGAGGCAGCTGATTGATGACTCTCTCTCATCGATGTTTCTAACTCTCTGTCCCTCTCTCTTCCTCTCTGTGAAAAAAATCAATAAAATATATATTTTTAAAAATGGTATCTACTTGTAGGGATGCTATGAGGATTATATGAACTTAGGACCTGACACACAGTAAATGCTATGTAAGCTGTTAGCTGCGTTATTGTTATTATCATCATCACCTCTGCCTTTACCTATTCTGTTGCAGCTCCAGGACATGACTCTCACCATCCAATTCCAATCTGATCCGTAAAGTCTCCGGCAGGCTGGTCTGTGGGCACCGGAGAGTGGGTCACCTCTCTGGCCCTGCCCCCAAATCCCTGTTCTCCCTACCCAGATGGCAGGCCCTCGGGAGACCGGAGGATGACATCACTGACTGGGGGGGCTGTCCCAGGGGAGGGGTCAGGAAGGCCTGTCTGGCCTGGGCATTGTTCTGGGGGGTGGTGCGGGAGGTCAGAGAAGGTATCTCCAGCCGCCCCCTTCTCGGCTTCCTGCCCAGAGAGGAAGCACCGTGGAGGACTCGGCGAGGGCCCTGGCCCTTCCTCTGACTCAGCGTTAGAATTGGGGGTAAGAGGAGGGCATTGGGTGAGGTCCTGACTCACCCTCCAAGCCCCCACTCCCCCTTTCTGTCCCCGGAGAAAGCCAACAAGTGAGACCTTGAAATCAAGCTTGACCTCAGGATTTCCCAGTGGCCATGGATGGGCTGGGTGGGGCTGAGGCAGATGTGTGTGTGTGTGTGTGTGTGTGTGTGTGTGTGTGTGTAGAAGGGAGAGGGAGATAAATTAAACTGGGTGCAGGGGTGTGATGGGAGAGGCGGCCGTGCCACAGCGAGGTCCACTTGCCTGCTCCTCAGCCAAGCTTTATCTGGACACCCGATGGGGGTGCTGGGGGTGCTTTATTTGAGGGCACAGAGAGGCTCACCTGCAGCACCTCAGCCAGGCTGAGTGTGAGGTTGTCCTGAAGGACTTGGGGTTCCCGGGGCACACTCAGGGTAGTCTCTGGAATCGCCTGCTCCTCCTTGGCGCCGCCTGCAGGGTCCCCAGAATGCTGAGAGACTCTGAACCAGCTGGTCCCCAATACCTCAAGGCCCTTCCTGCCTGAAGGACTCCTGAATTGCATGCCGGGACTTAAAGGAGAATACTGGGGGTGTGGGCTCCCTCCAACAGTGTGCTTTCATCCCACCAACACATCCCCAAAGAAACGGAGCGAGCCCAGCCTGTGGCTCCGCCCTCTGGCCCCCGGGCCAATCCCGGGTTCTCATAGGGACCCTCTCCCCTCCCCTCCCACTCCCACTCCCACCACCGCCGCCCCCGCCCCAAGAAACGCCCGCATGCGGACTGAGGGAAGCCGGTGGCTGGGTGCCCACTCACCCTCCCTTTTCTCCGTCGGAGATGCCGGGCACGCCCATTCTGGGTGAGCAGTGCAAACACCACCATCCCCTCCCTAAACACCCTGGTGCCCAGCTCGGCACACCCGCTCCCCACAGCCTCTGCTTCCTCCCCGGGCCCCCCCTCGCACAATGGCCCTCTCTCCTCCGGACACTCCACCCTGGCCTGCCCGCTCGGCCCCCGGCCCAAGACCGAAGCAGGAAGTGAAAGTTCCAAGGAGGAGCTGGTGTCCCAGCCTCTTTCCCGGCCAAGTCTCCCCTCTCCGGGCTTCTCCGGGCGCCAGCCCAGCCAGCTCTCTGGTGGCATCAGCACCAGAGTGCGAGGCGCCTGGCCGCTCAGGCCTCGGTGGCGGCGGCAAGCATCCCCTTCGCCAACCCTACAAGCGTGTCCTCTGGGCACCCTGGCATCGGTGAAACGGTCAGCCAGGCCCCAAAGGAGCGAGGCCTCAGTCCCGGGGCGCAGTGACCCCCTCCCGGAGGGCGGGGCGCCGCCCTGCGCCAGGGCCTGGGCGCTGGTACCAGCGCTGGGAAGCGTCCGCGGGGACCGCGCCGAGGGTGACCCTCCTCTCCTCTCCATCGCCCGGCCGCCGGCCCTCGCCCAGGACCGCAGACCAGGGCCGGCCGCGCTCTGCTTGGGGTCTCCCAAGGTCTCCTCCTGACCCCAATTCCCGATGATGCCTCCCCACTCCCCTGCGCCTCTTTCCAGTCCTCCAATGGCCCGCCCCCGGCCCCGCACTCACCTGTCCCTGGAGGCGACGGGAAGGGCAGGGGGCTGCCCGCGCCCAGGAGCCCCAGGGCCCAGAGCAGCGCCAGCCGCATGACAGCGGCGCCCGGGGCCGGCGAGGGCGGCAGGTGCCGGGCCGCGCGCCGAGTCGCAGCGGCGGCCGGGTCTGCTGGGCGCACTGCGCCGCGCGGGGCCTCCGCCAGGCCCCGCCCCTCCCCTCTCACAGGGCCCCGAGCCAGGCCCCGCCCCTCCCGCCAGGCCCCGCCCTCCCACCAGGTCCCGCCCCGGAGAGGCCCCGCCCCTCAGCTCTCACAGGGTCCCGAGCCAGGCCCCGCCCCGTCCTCCAGGCCACGCCCCTCCCTTCTCACAGGGCCCCGGGTTAGGCCACGCTCCTCCCTCCAAGCTCTTCCCCTCTCCAGGCCCCGCCCCCTGAGAGGCCCCGCCCCGCCGCTCAGGTTCCTAAAGAAGCCGACCCGGACCCCGGACTCCGCTTGCTCAGCGCAGCGCCGCCGCTTTCCAGCTGCCGTGCTGGGTGGGATCGGAGGCCGGTCTGACCGGCTGGGGCGTCGCTTCTCCACCCGCCGCAGGTCCGGGCTTCTTCCTAGCAGCGCTGCCGCCTCCCGCCTCCAGTCGCCGCCCGGCCCTGCGGCGATCGGTGCCAGTTCTCCCGGGCTGCCCGCCCGGCAGCGCCCGGCCCGCTCCCCGCCCGAGAACCGGATCCCCGCGGGCGGGGGTGTGCACGGCATTTTATTGATTCGGAAGGGGCGAAGGGGGAGCGCGCAGGCGCCCCTTCACTCCGCGTAGGTGGCGTCGTCGTTGCTGTCGCTGAAGGCGGAGGAGGAGAGCTCCTCCCGGGGCGTGCAGACCGGGCAGCGCTGCCGCATGTCGTCCCAGCAGGACGGGCAGTACACCGCCGCGCAGTCCGCAGTCGGGCACACGTAGGAGTCGGGTGCCTCCGGGGCCTGGCACACCACACAGCGCCGGCGCAGCCAGGGGCGCAGGAAGGGGCAGCGGCGGTGCAGGATGTCCGCCAGGTCGTGGCGCTGTGGGAAGAGGGGAGGGTTAGCGCTAGCGAGGGGGCGAGGCGGGGAAAGGCGCGAGGGGACTGACCCGCGCTTATATATATATATATATATATATATATATATATATATATATATATATATTTGATTTTCCACAGAGAGGAAGGGAGAGGGACAGAGAGAAACATCGTTGAGAGCTGGCACACCCCCTATTGGAGATGTGCCCGCAACCAAGGTACATGCCCTTGACCGGAATCGAACCTGGGACCTTTCAGTCCGCAGGCCAACGCTCTATCCACTGAGCCAAACCGGTTTTGGCTGACCCCGCGCTTCTTGTCCGGAGACTCAGGCATGGCAGTGCCCATGAGGTGGAGAAAACTGGATTGGGCAAAGAGGACCCCCCCCCCAGAGAGCCTGGGTGCTAGGGAGGTGGGTCCTAGAGGGCTCCCTGCCCCGCGCACTCCGTGATGGAGAGGGGGAGGGACCGGCTGGTGGGACTCTGGTTGAGCGTGGACCAATGAACCAGGAGGTCAAGGTTGGATTCCCGGTCAGGTCACTTGCCCAGGTTGAGGGCTTAATCCCCAGTGTGAGGCGTGCAGGAGGCAGCAGATCAATGATCCTCATCATTGATGTTTCTATCTCTCTCTTCCCCTCCCTTCTCTTAAGTCAATAAAAAATATATATTTTTAAAATATATATATTTTATTGCTTTTATTACAGAGAGGAAGGTAGAAGGATAGAGAGTTAGAAACACTGATGAGAGAGAAACATTGATCAGCTGTCTCCTGCAGACCCCCCACTGGGGATGTGCCCGAAACCAAGGTACATGCCCTTGACCTGAATCGAACCTGGGACCTTTCAGTTTGCAGGCCAACGCTCTAACCTCTGAGCCAAACCGGTTTCGGCAAAAAAAAAAAAAAAAAAAAAAAAAAAAAAAAAAAAAATATATATATATATATATATATATATATATATATATATATATTTTTTTTTTTTTTTTAAAGAGTGGGAGGATGCAGCGTGGACTCTCCCAGCTAGCAACAGCAATCACCATCGTTTTCGATTTCCCATCAATCATCTTACTTGGTTCTCAGGGTGGAGCTGAGCAGGGAGGAGGGCAGATAAGGCTATCACTTTACAGATGAGGAGGATGACTCTCACAAAGGTGAAGTGACTTCCCCAAAGGCACCAAGACAGTAAACAATCAAACCTGGCTGGACCCAGGGATCATGATTGAAACTGCAAGCCTGGTGGTGGTGCTAGATGCTCCCCCTCTCCCCCCCTCTCCACAGGTCACCCTTGGCTCAGAAACCTCCAGGAGCTGCACTGCCCGCCCAAGGCAGGACTCCTGTGCGGGGCTTTCACAGCTTCCACAGTCTGGTCCCTTTCTAGCCTCCAGCCCAGCGTCCCCCTTCCTGGGCTGTGCCTGCCTCCCTAGACCAGCCCTGGCCCTCTGCTCGCCCTTTGCTTGGGTTTTTAGTCTTGGCACATTCTGTTCCCTCGGTGTGGAAGGAATGCCCTTCACATTTCCATCTGCCCATCAGAATCCACGTTACTTCAGGACCGGGTCATGGGATCACAGTATGTTCTTTTTTTTTTTTTTTTTTTTTTTATCAGTCATGGTGCGTTTCATGGGGGATAGGGGGTCTGGGCACAGAGGAAAAAGTTAAACCGGCATTCTCACTTTCATGAGTGTGATTAAATAAGAACAGGTACAACTTGTTGTTTTTTAAAATGTTGGGCCCTGCCCTAACTGGTTTGGCTCAGTGGATAGAGTGTCAGCCTGTGGACTGAAGGGTCCCGGGTTCGATTCCGGTCAAGGGCATGTACCTTGGTTGCGGGCACATCCCCAGTGAGGAGTGTGCAGGAGGCAGCTGATGGATGATTCTCTCTCATCAATGTTTCTAGCTCTCTATCCCTCTCCCTTCCTCTCTGTAAAAAAAAATCAATAAAAAATATATTTAATAAAATTAAAAAAAAGGTCCCATGTTCGATTCTGGTCAAGGGCATGTGCCTTGGTTGCAGGCATATCCCCAGTAGGAAGTGTGTAGGAGGCAACTGATTGATGTTTCTAATTCTCTATCCCTCTCCCTCTCTGTAAAAAAGCAATAAAATATATTAAAAATAATAATAAATAGCCGAAACTGGTTTGGCTCAGTGGATAGAGCATCAGACCTTGGACTGGAAGGTTCCAGGTTCGATTCTGGTCAGGGGCATGTACATTGGTCGTGGGCACATCCCCAGTGAGGGGTGTGCAGGAGGCGGCTGGTCTATGTTTCTCTCCCATCGATGTTTCTAACTCTCTATCCCTTTCCCTTCCTCTTTGTAAAAAATCAATAAAATATATTTAAAAAAATAATAACAAATAAATGTTGGGCCCTGTACTAAGAAACTGTAAGTAAATTAACTCAATTCAAACAATAACCATGTAAGGCAGATACTGTTATCATCATCATCACCACCATCTCTTTTCCAGGTGAGAAAACTGGTGGTTGGAGAGGTGGCCGCTGGCCTAGGGTCACAGGATGACACCTAACACGTGTACGGGATTCCGGAGTGCTTGCCACGGCAGCAAAACCCATTTAGTCCTGACCACAGCCCAACGGAGCTGGTGACTCCATTTCCCAGAACACCAAGGCACAGCGTTTAAATGAGAGTCGTCATGGTAATAAGGACAGGAGCCATCACATAGTCGTCATGGTAATAAAACCCAGAGCCTGACACCTGACGGCCCCTCTCTTACTAGTCTCCAGGGAGCAGGCTGCAGACCTGTCCCGCCTTCTGTCCTTCAGAGAGAAACCCAGGTCCGGGGAGGATGATGGCCAGAGTGACCCAGCCTCACGGGGGAGTGTGGACGAGCCTGGATCTTCCAACTCAGTGAGCTTCCCAGGTGCCTCACCCCCCTTCGTGAGGCCTCTGGACCCCAGCCCCCAACTCCTGCCGCCTATGGGTCGCCCGGAGTGGCTGGTCTGCGGGCCTCTCAGGAGGACCTGTGGCTTTGCCTCGGTCCCCGGTTTCTGACGAACCCCTCTTGCTTTCCTTTGGTCGAATCCTGTTCCCCCTTCCCGCCGCTTCCTGCTGGTCCCCTGAGCGGCTCAGGCCGGGCTGACGTCTGGGGCTCAGAGACGGACACAGAGCAGGTGGCCAGGCCCTTCGGCGTGAATCACGTCTGAATGCACTGAGCTGCCAGGGGCCGGCAGGGAGCATGGCGCAGGCCTGGCCTGACTCACCCGGGCCCTCTGCTCCCGCGCCTGCCTCACGATGGCCGCCCTCCTCAGCTTGGTGAAGGCCGCCCTTTTCCTCAGGAGCTCGTTGTAGAAGAAGAGGACCCGCTTCTTCTCTCGCTGGGTGGAGAGGGGGGTCAGCGACAGGGACAGCGGCTGGTGTGTGTGAGCGCTGCCTGGGGGGAGGTCAGGAGGAGGTCGGGGGGAGGTCAGGGGTGCACCTTGGGGAAGTAGAAGGCTGCGATGACCCTCCGCAGTCGGTAGCCGAAAGCCTGGAGCAGACAGAGACACACCAGCAGGCCCGTGGGGAGTCCGGTCCTCACATAGTCTCCGGCGCTCAGGGACAGGGGCTGAGGCAGACAGGCTGGGGGCGGGCAGGGGGAGGGGGGCCTGTCAAGGGTCTGGCTGCTGAGGGATGGGCAGCCCTGGCTGAATTCCTGCCCAGTGAGGGTGCGGGTTGGGACTGACACCTCGCTGGGCTCCTGCTGCCCCCTCCCCCTGAGGAGCGGTGCCACCCAGGGCCCATGTGGCTCTCTGCTCAGCACCGCGCAGGTGTAGGCAGCTGCCATCAGAGCAGAGAGGTCTGTGGGACAACCACGCCCTCCAGAGGATGGGACCCTCTGGCCCGAAGGCCCAGCCCCCAGGCTCCGCTGACCCAGGTCTGTCATCCTCCAGTTCAAGTTGGACCCAATATTTCCTGCTCTGATTCCCCAACCCCAACAGAGTCCTCTGAGGCCCCTGTCTCCCCACCCCAAGGCCCTCAGCCCCCCATCCCTCCGTCTGGAGCCTCTTCGCCACTCACGCATGTTGTTGGATTCCACCACTGTCTCCGAGGAGGTGTTCAGGGCCCCGATGGTTTTCCTGAGGAGCCGGGCGATCAGGGAGTCCCCCCCAACTTTCACCACCAGTTTATGACGGCCTGAGGCGAAGATCCGGGCGTGGGATAGGGGGATGGGGGCAGGGGGTGGGGGTGGGGTGGGGTTAGGAGTTGGCCTTAAGGGGATGGGGAGAGGTCCGAGCACAGAAACACTTCTCAGCTGCACATTCCGTCCCTCCACTGGGCACCCCGTTGTAGGCGGAAAGGGGGATGGAGACCCAGGGCCCCGGGGCCAGCTGCCAGGTGTCAGGGCTCAGACGTGACCCTGAGGAGGACGGAAAGGCCTGAGACCCAGAGGCGGAGATGGGAAGCATCGGGGTGGGTGGCCGGACAGGGTGGAGTCCGGGCGCGCTCACTGCGGAAGGAGTACTGCAGGAAGGAGTGCTGGCGGATGGTGTCGAAGATGGAGAAGAGCGCCCAGTCCAGCCCGCACAGCACCAGCAGCAGCAGCAGCACCGGCACCGTCTCCAGCAGCTCCATTATCTGCCGGGAGCAGGCGGGTGGAGCGGGCACGCCACCTGCCCTGGCAGGGAGCCCTCTCGCAGCCTTCACCCTCCTCGCTCAGGTCTGTGCCTCTGGTGCCCCCCCCCCCATCCTCACCACGTTTCTCATTTCCGAGGCCTGGATGGTGGGGTCGTAGGGGAAGATGACCGTCTTCTTCTCCGCTTTGCGGAGCGGCAGCAGAGTCCGTTTGCCCTGGAAGAAGATGAACCACAGCGAGGAGCGCCAAGGCCCTGCCCCCAGCGGCGCTCCCTTGGGTAAGGCTGGGCCCGCTCACCAGCTTTCTTTTTCTCCTGCCCTCCCCTGCTGGCCTGGTTGCCCCCAACTGCCCTCCCCTGCCTGCCTGATCACCCCCAACTGCCCTCCCCTGCCAGCCTGATCTTCCCCCAACTGCCCTTCCCTGCCAGCCTGAATGCCCCTAACTGCCCCTGCCTGCCTAATCACCCCTAACTGCCCTCCCCTGCCAGCCTGATCTTCCCCCAACTGCCCTTCCCTGCCAGCCTGATCTTCCCCTAACTGCCCTCCCCTGCCAGCCTGATCTTCCCCCAACTGCCCTTCCCTGCCAGCCTGAATGCCCCTAACTGCCCCTGCCTGCCTAATCACCCCTAACTGCCCTCCCCTGCCAGCCTGATCTTCCCCCAACTGCCCTTCCCTGCCAGCCTGATCTTCCCCCAACTGCCCTTCCCTGCCAGCCTGATCTTCCCCCAACTGCCCTTCCCTGCCAGCCTGATTGCCCCTAACTGCCCCTGCCTGCCTAATCACCCCTAACTGCCCTCCCCTGCCAGCCTGATCTTCCCCCAACTGCCCTTCCCTGCCAGCCTGATCTTCCCCCAACTGCCCTTCCCTGCCAGCCTGATTGCCCCTAACTGCCCCTGCCTGCCTAATCACCCCTAACTGCCCTCCCCTGCCAGCCTGATCTTCCCCCAACTGCCCTTCCCTGCCAGCCTGATCTTCCCCCAATGCCCTTCCCTGCCAGCCTGATCTTCCCCCAACTGCCCTCCCCTGCCGGCCTGATCTCACCCCCCCACTCACCAGCTTCTTCCTGCGTTCATCGATCTGACAGAAGTAGGTGCTGATGTAGATGTTGTCAAAGCGAATGTCCCCGTTGTAGCTGTCCATGTAGGAGAAGGACCTGTGGACAAGAATGTCTCCATCTCTCTCCAGCCCTGGGCTTCCTAAGGCACAGACACTCCACCAGCCGGCCTCTGAGCGCCATCTACATCCTAGGAGCCTCTGCCCTGCCCCCAGGCGGGCCCAGTGAGAGACATCTGCGCCAGCCCTGAGACTGGGGGGGCGGGTGCTGTGCGAGAGGTGTCGCGGGAGGAGGGGAGACGTCCCAGGCATGGACCTGGCAGGATGAGAATCAGCAGAGGAAACAGCAGAGCAAAGGCCCAGAGGTGGGGGAACCCGGCAAGAGTTCAGGAGTCACCTGACCCATTGTGACTCCCCCTTCACCGCTGGAGTCCTGGCCTCTCGGCTGAGCCTGAAAAACTTCTCCTGGAGGTTCCTTCAAGCAAAAGTCACCCCAAACACCACTTTCCTTCCCCTCGGACACACCCCTGGTTTCAACAGTGGTTTCTGGGGGGGGGGGCGGGGGGAGGTAGGAGGGTGCGTGTACATGTGTAACTCTCCTCCGTGTATCTGCCAAGGTCCCACATATGCTTCTGTTCTTTCTTTTTAAAAATATATTTACACAAGCCAATATTCTATCCACCGAGCCAAACCGGCTTTGGTAATGCTTCCATTTTCTAAGGAAAAAAAAAAATGTTAATTGTTGAAAAAGTGTTTGAGCCCTCGCCGGTTTGGCTCAGTGAATAGAGCATCGGCCTGCAGACTGAAGGGTCCCGGATCCGATTCCGGTCAAGGACACATGCCTGGGTTGCCGGCTCCATCTCCAGTGGGGGGGCGTGCAGGAGGCAGCCGATCAATGATTCCCTCTCATCATTGATGTTTCTATCCCTCCCTCCCTCTCCTGTCCTCTCTGAAGTCAATAAAAATGTTTTTTTTTAAAGTAAAATGTGTTTGAAACTATAAAATTACATTAAATAATCTCTGTGAAACGGTGAAACGTAACTGCCAATGCTGTTGGCTCTGGGACCTTGTCCTAATCCATCCATCTTTCCCTTTCAAGTGGAACGAACTATAAATGCGAAGGAAGACTGTGAGCGCCCCCTTGTGGAGGAACCTATCGCTACTGTGCACAGGCCCCCGGAGCCTGGGCCCCGCCCGGGCCCCAGCGCTGCCCCCTCAGGGAGTGACCTCACCCAGGTTGAAAGCCTGGAAGTGCCTTTTGCCTCGGTGCCTCCTTCCTCCCCGCCCCAAGCTCGCTCTGAGGCCTGCGACACCTTTCCCTTTTAGGGCCTTCTCGGGCCAGCTTCCTGCCACGCCCCAGGCCCGCCAGGCTCCCTAACCTCTGACCCGCCTTGGACTCCTGCCTTAGTCCCTCCGGCCACCGCCCCCAGGCTTTCCAGACTGTCTGGCCCCGCCCGCTCCAGCCACGTCCTCTGCCCTCCACACCCCACAGATGCCAGGATCCTTGCCCGGAGAACACCCTTTCTCTCCTCGACCGGGGCTCCCCGCCTGCCGCCTTTGGAGGCCCATTTATAGCTCCTGCCGGGCGCCTCCTCGGCTCCCACACCCTCCCGCAGCCCTTGAATCGCCTGTTTCTCGGCCGCCCTCCGCCGTGAGCTTCTGGAGGGGGAAGGTGGCCCATTCATCTCTGTCCTCTCACAGGCACACGCGTAACCGCGCACTGGAGTCACTCCCGGCTCTGCAAACACGGCAGCCCAGCAGGAGCGCCTGCGGCCTCCCTGCCCGGCCCCTGCCCGGCCCTCTCCAGCCTCTGGGGGGTGGAGGCAGGAAGCAGAGGGTCCAGAGGTCAATAGGGGACGGACAGCGAGGCCGGGGCGGCCCGGCTGGACGCCAGGCTGGGTGGGGCTGAGGACTTTGGTCCAAATGGAGGGAAAGTGGCTGCCAGCACAGCAGGCGGGAGAGAATGAAAGCAGAATTGGACGATAAAAATGGCACAAAGTCAGAGCCAGGCGGAATAGGAAGGGCGAGGGGGGAAAAAAAAATCAAAAGTCAACGTGAGAAGTAAAAGTGTCAGCGTCGGGATGAAGGCGATGAAGGCGGAAGGACTGCAGGGCGGCCTTCGGGGGCGGCGGCAGGAGTGCATTCGGGGCGCTCTGACAGAACGCCACATCTCCGCCAGCTCTGTGTGCACGAGCCCGCTCAGAAAGGGGACCTGCACACTCAGCGCTGGAGGTGGGCCGAAGCCAGTGTGGCTCAGTGGATAGAGCATCGGCCTGCGGACGGAAGGGTCCCGGGTTCGATTCTGGTCAAGGGCACGTACCTTGGTTGCGGGCACATCCTCAGTGGGGGGTGTGCAGGAGGCAGCTGATGAATGTTTCTAACTCTCTATCTCTCTCCCTCTCTGTAAAAAATCAAATATATATATATGTATGTGTGTATGTGTGTGTGTATAAAATAAAATAAAAAATCAATTAAAAAATCAATATGTATAAAAAAAAAACCAGAGCTGGAGGTGGGCCTGACGGCCGGTTCTCCCAGGCTCCCCGGGGCAGGGCTCCTCTCCGGAGCCCAGGAAGGGGCTTCGGGAGCGGGGGCGGGGTGGGGCGGGGTGGGGCGGGGCGGGGTGGGGTGGGCTCACGAGTGGAGGACGATGAGGAAGGTGCAGGACAGCAGCACGTGCAGCAGCCCCAGGGCCCACTCCAGCTGGGCCTCCCGGCGCCGCACGTAGTCCCGCACCTCGGTGCTCACGCGCTCCCAGCTGGCGTTGAGGCCCAGCAGCCCCGCCTGCTTCTCCTCCTGCGGAGGCACAGGTGCGGCCCTCAGGCTCTCCGCCACCTCACGTCCGCTTCCTCTCTGCTTTCCTTGGATTCTCTTCCCCGGGAACAAGGTCTGATCCCCCCCCCCCCCCCGCCCATTCCCCACCTGCCTACATCCATACCCACTGTTAATAAACAAGGCCAGTCCGGATTCACAGCCCAGCTCCTCCGTTTGCCCGGCCCAGCCTCCCCGTGGCATCGCTCCCCGGTGCCCCGCGCAGGCCATGCCCCCTGGCTTGTCGCAGGGCCCGCGGGAGCTGCTGCTTCCTTCTGCTCAACGCCCTCCCCGCCGTGGGCTCGCTCCCCTGCATCTGTAGGAGCTGACCCCCTCACACCTGGCTGACCATCCGTCCCCAGCCAGCTCCAGGCACCCGCACGTAGGCTCAGCCTGCTCCTCTGCCAGCACCAGCACCCATGCTGTGCCCCTCCTGCCCCCCCCACGCCCAGTGATCTCCCCCCCCCACTCGCCCTGCCTCAGGCCCTCTTCCCTGTGCCTCCTCCCACTCCCTCCCCCTCCCCCTCATTCCAAAATGCCCCTGCCTCCTACCTTGAAGTTGATCGTGGCTGAAAAGTCCCCGCCCAGCCCCTGAATAGACTGGTTGACGGAGTCGTACGTCTGCCCGAAGTTGCCTTCCACGGGGATACGGCTGCGGCACCAAATTTCCATCGCTGGTGGGAGGGGCGGGTGAGGGAGGGGCTGCCTCCCCGTGCCCAGCCTCCAGGTGTGGCCTCGGGGAGCCCCTCCGTCCCGCTCTCGGCCTCCCTGCCCACGGCGTCCGACCCCCTGGAGTCCGTTTCCTCTCTGCTTTCCCGAGTTCTTTTCCCGGGAGCGAGGTCTGACCCCCCCTTTTCCCACCCGTCTCTCACCATACCCACTGGTAATAAAGTTCGCCGATGCTCATAGAGCAGCTCCTCGTCGGCCAGCCCTGCTACCTTCCTCACCAGTGTTATCTCCTTAAACCCTCAGGAGCCCCGGGCGGGCCGAAGCCCGTTTGGCTCAGTGGGTAGAGCGTCGGCCTGTGGACTGAAACGTCCCAGGTTCGATTCCGGTCAAGGGCATGTACCTGTACCTTGGATGCAGGCGCATTCCCGGTGGGGGTGTCCAGGAGGCAGCTGATCAATGTTTCTTACTCTCTATCCCTTTCTCTTTCTCTCTTTAAAATTTTTTTTTTTTTAAAGAAAGAGCAGGAACCGGTTTGGCTCAGTGGATAGAGCGCTGGCCTTCAGACTGAAAGGTCTGTTCCGGGCTCTGTTCCGGGCAAGGGCATGTACCTTGGTTGCGGGCACATCCCCAGTAGAGGTGGTGGATGAGGCAGCTGGTCGATGATTCTCTCTCATCGATGTTTCTAACTCTCTATCCCTCTCTCTTCCTCCCTGTAAAAAATCAATAAAATATATATATATATATTTAAAAATAAATAAATAAAAATAAAGAAAGAAAGAACCCCGGGCGGGAGCAGCACTATATGATGTCTGTGTTTCAGCTGTCACTTACCCTGGAGGGTGGAAGGGCTGGCTCGGAGGGGGCTGTGTCCTCAGAGCCTAGAGCCTCCTGCCTCATGGCTTCCTGCCCCACACCTTCCCAGCGCACCCCAGGGACTCGGCTCCCCAGCCCGGCGCCCCCACCCTCCTGCCACGGCGCTGACCCCTGGCGATGCTGCAGAAGAACTTGAACTTCATGGGCAGGCAGAGCAGGTGGTTGAGGAGCGGGACCGGAATGCGCTGCATGCACTCTGCGTGCTTCTTGTCAAACCAGCGGCGGCAGCTGAGGATGGCCCTGTCCACCACGTCTGCGGGCGGGCGGGGCGGGGCGTCTGAGATCCCCGCACCCTGACCGGAGCCGGCCCCGCGGCTGCCCCCGGGGGTCGCCCCTCACAGGCGCAACGCAGCTTGGTCTTCAGCTCGTACATCTTCTGGGTGGAGAGGTGGGCCCGGAAGGCCGGGGCGCGGAGCGGGGCCGTCTCCGCCAGGCCCCCCGCGTCCTCGGGCGTGTAGCCGGTCTCGCTCTTCACCTGCGCGTCCAGCTCCTCGAAGGAGTTGGAGATGTTCTGCGTCTCGGCTCTCAGGGACGTTTTGCTGCCCTGGGGGTGAGAGGGGTGGACGGGGCAGGGCCGGGGGCTGAGAGCGTCTGCTGTCCCCTGGCCTCTCCTCCCCCCGTTAGCCCGGCTTCGGGCCCTTCGCCAGGCCTGTAGGAGCCTGGGCCCTGAGGCGGGTGCTCACCTCACCTCCCTACTGGCACAGTCCCCGAGCCCGTCCCTCTCCCCCGCTGCCTCTCTTTGCTCCCCTCCCAGGCTCCCAGCTCCTCCTCAGGCCTCCGGCCCCAGATCCTTGCTCCTCAGGGAAGGGCTCCCCAAGTCCTTGGACTTCACCCCACATCACCCATCCCTCAGGCCACTAGGCCGTCTCAGTGTCCCCACTCCCAAGCCCTTCAATCCCGATCTCCCCAGCTCAACACTCCGATCCCCCCAAACCCCCGTCTCCAAAGCCCAATGCTGCCGGAACCGGTGTGGCTCAGTGGATAGAGCGTTGGCCTGCGGACTGAAAGTCCCAGGTTCGATTCCGGTCAAGAGCATGTATCTTGGTTGCGGGCACATCCCCTGTAGAGGGTGTGCAGGAGGCAGCTGGTCGATGTTTCTCTCTCATCGACGTTTCTAGCTCTCTATCCTTCTCTCCTCCTCTCTGTAAAAAATCAATAAAATATATTTTTAAAAAATCAATAATAAAATATATTAAAAAAACAAAACAACAGCCGAGACCGGTTTGGCTCAGTGGATTGAGCGTCGGCCTGCGGACTGAAAGGTCCCAAGTTCGATTCCAGTCAAGGGCATGTACCTTGGTTGCGGGCACAACCCCAGTAGGGGGTGTGTAAGAGGCAGCTGGTCGGTGACTCTCTCTCATTGATGTTTCTAACTCTCTATCTCTCTCTCTTCCCCTCTGTAAAAAAATCAATAAAATATATTTAAAAACAAAACAAAAAAAAAAACCAATGCTCTTGTCCAGTGTTTCCCAAACTTTTGACATATGTGTACCCCTTCTATAATTTTCATAGCTGAGTACCCCTCGTACTCATGAGAACGTAGAATTAGGCGCAGCTAAGCACGGTGCAGTGCATGTCCCCACCAAACTCCGGTGCAACGCACACCCCCACCAAACTCTTCCCGTACCCCTGGGGATACGCGTACCACCCTTTGGGAAACCCTGCGAGTCTAGTCCCCTGGTCTTCAAAGCTTCCAAACCCTCAAGGCCGAGGACCCCAAGCCCAGCGAACCTCCCACTTCGGTGTTTGGGGTAAGGCCTGTCCCCATGACTGAGGCAGGGCACACCCTGCCATGTTTGGGGACAGTCTTGGAAAAAAAAAAAAATGCCAGGAGTTCCCCCTTTGGGAAAGAGTGAATTCAGGGTCCCAGCTCCCAGCTCAGGTCCCCTAGGTCCCCTTGGGAATAGGGCCGCCCCCCCCCCGCCCGGCCCTGCCCCTGCCCCTGCCCCTGCAGGGTCCTGACCAGCAGGTCCTTGAACACGGCGCGCAGCGGGGCGGTGGAGACGCGCCAGGCCGCGCGCGTGTTGTTGATCTGCAGCTGCACCGTGCAGCCCAGCGAGGCCACCACCTCGTTGAGGTTGAACCGCAGGTTGGCCACCGGTCCTGGGGAGGAGGCCCCAGAGTCACTCCCTCCGGGATCAGCACCTCTCCTAGCTCCACCCCACAGGCAGGGCCCAGCTCCCAGCCCCGGAGAGGTCCTCTCCTTCAGCCCCGGTTTTGTCCCCGTGTCCACGGAGGCTGCCTCTCTCGGGGACCCTCCGCCAACGGCCGCCGTTGGGATCGGATTCCCACCCTTTCTCTGTCGCCCGGCCCGGCTCCCAGGGGTGTCCCACGAGGGTCACGGCTTCAGCAGCACGAACCGGGCCCCGGGGGCACACTCACCCTCGTAGATGGCGGCCAGGGCGTATCCCAGCACAAAGAGCCTGCCCTCCTTGCCCAGCATCTTGGGGATGAGCAGGAGGCTGGCGCAGCGGATCCGAGGGGAGGTCCCCCAGCCCACGGCCCCGGAGCCTGGCGGAGAGCCCGGGAGGCGGTGAGGCAGAGAGAGGGAGCTGGTTAGTCTACCAGGTTCACCCGAGTAACCCCCACCCCCCACTCCCTTCTGGAACACCAACATCCCGCTCTCGTCCCCAGTTACACGGACTCGGATCGGCCTCCGGGCCACCATTACTCCACGTATCCAACAGCCATTACAGAGCTCAGCTGGGTGCCGTCCCGGAGGGCTGGGGAGGTGGAAGGCCGTGGCTGGTGAGTGACTTTATGGACGTATAGGAGTGAGTGCCTGTGTGAGGGAAGGGGGCCTGCCAGAACCGGTTTGGCTCAGTGGATAGAGCATCGGCCTGTGGACTGAAGGGTCCCAGGTTCGATTCCGGTCAAGGGCATGTAATGTGGTTGCGGGCACATCCCCAGTAGGGGCTGTGCAAGAGGCAGCTGATCGATGATTCTCTCTCATCGATGTTTCTAATGCTCTATCCCTCTCCCCTCCTCTCTGTAAAAATCAATAAAAATATATATATATTTTTTAAAAAAGGGAACGGAAAAAAAAAAAAAGAAAAGAAAGAAAGAAAGCTGAGACCGGTTTGGCTCAGTGGATAGAGCATCGGCCTGTGGACTGAAGGGTCCCAGGTTCAATTCCGGTCAGGGCCATGTACAGTGGTGGTGGGCATGTCCCCGGTGGGGGTGTGCAGGAGGCAGCTGGTCGACGTTTCTCTCTCATCGATGTTTCTAATTTTCTATCCCTCTCTCTTCCTCTCTGTGAAAAATCAATAAAATATATTAAAAAAAAAAAAAAAAAAAAAAAAGGGAAGAGGGCATTTCCGTCTCCAGGTTGCATTCTCACTGACCCTGGGGTGCTGAGGGAGCAGAGAGAACGAGAGAAAAATTCTGGAAACAGGCCCTGGAGCTCAGAGCGGTCAGAAGAGAGGGCAGAGCCACCTCAATGCTCCCCACGCTCTGGCGCCTACAGCACCCTGACCCCGGTCCCTAACTGAGCCCGTAAGCATGCGCCTCCTGGTATGTCTTAGCCGGTTCCCACGTGCGTCCCTGTGGTCTGTGAAAGGAGACAGTGAGCTCCCCAAGGGGAGAGACAGACGCGTAAACAGATGACTGCAGCGGTGAGCGCCGAGGGCTCAGGGAGGCGCTCAGAGAGCCGTGGGAGCACGGGAGGGAGTGGGCGCCTCTGCAGGGAGGGGTGGGGCCGAGCAGCCGGACAAAGGCGGTGATGTGTCAGCGGGGCCCGGGGGATGAGTAACTGTTGTTAGAGGCCACGGGCGGGCGGCATTCCAGGCCGAAGGAGCAGCACCGGCTGGTCGGGGGCCCAGAAGATCCCCGTGTGGACAGAGCGCTCCTCCCAGGTCTCCAAAGCCAACCCCGAGCCTGTGCTTCATGCGGTGTCCACTGCCCCCCCGGAGCCCCCGTCACTGCTCGCTGGGACCAGCCGGCCCCCCACTTCCTCTGTGGCTGAGCTGTCCTTCACCAGGCAGCCAGAGCGGTCGTGTGAGCACAGAGGTCCGAGCCTGTCCCTGGCCGGCTTCACACCGCCCCGTGGCCTTCTACCACGCGAGGAACCGAATCCACACCCCTCAGCGGGGCCCACGGGCTTGCGATCCGGCCTCTGCCTCCCTCCCAACGCTATGCCATGCCATGCTACTCGGCCCTCGCAGACCTCGCTGCTGTTTCTAGAACGTGCCAAGCTCATCGCTCCTCCCTGGCCTTTGCCCTGGCTGTCCTCCCAGCCGGGAGCACCCTCCCCCTCGTCCTCACCCGTCTGGCAGCGCCTCGTCCTACAGGTTTGCTGCAAACCCCGTCGGTGCCGCCCAGCAGCTTGCTCTGCTTTCTTTCTTGCTAAGACAACGTGAGTTTTGTTCCAGGGCAGTGGCCTGTCCACGCCCTGACCCCGGGAGTGGTTTGTCTAACCCAGCGGTGGTAAAACCGAGCATTGAAGGGGCTTTTTTCTGTGGTCTTGGCCTTCTGACCACAGACGCACGCTGAGGAAGAGAGGGGATAGAGTTGCCCTACATTCGAAAGAAGCCCCATGGCCCAGCTGGCGTGGCCCACTGGTTGAGTGTCGACCTATAAACCAGGAGGTCACAGTTGGATTCCCGGTCAGGGCACACGCCCGGGGTGCGGGCTCGATCCCTAGAGTGGAGCATGCAGGAGGCAGCCAATGATTCTCTCTCACCATTGATGTTTCTATCTCTCTCCCCCTCTCCCTCCTTCTCTGAAATCAGTAATAAAGATTTTATTTTTTAAAAAATATATTTCATTGATTTTGTACAGAGAGGAAGGGAGAGAGAGAGTTAGAAACATCGATGAGAGTCATCGATCAGCTGCCTCTTGCACACCCCCTACTGGGGATGTGCCCGCAACCAAGGTACATGCCCTTGACCGGAATCGAACCCGGGACCCTTCAGTCCCCAAGCTGACGCTCTATCCATTGAGCCAAACCGGTTTCGGCAATAATAAAGATTTTAAAAGAGAGAGAGAGCATGCCCGATGGAGGTGCCAACCCCTTTTCTTGACTCCCAAAGAGCAAAGCTAGTCTCTCACCCCTCCTCCCCAGCCAGTCTGCGTAAAGACAAGACCAGACATTTGGGGCATTCCCTTCCCCGCGGGGAGTGAGAGGCTCCAGGGGACCCTGCGGGGACTGGTGCTTCAGGACGGGAAACCTGGTCCCCGGTCCTGGGCCAGACTCGGGCTGAGCCGCCGAGCCTGGGCCGCCCGGAGCCCAGAGCCCGGGAGCGCTCACGGAGGGAGCGTGTACGCGCTCCATGGCCAGCCTGGCAGCTCCGAGCAGCCATTTCCTCTGGGACGAGAGGCCATGCTGGGCGGGAGCAGCCTCACGTCCGCTGTGGGGCCCCATCGTGGGGCGGACCCCAGGAGCAGAGGCTGCGGGCCGCCTGCAGGAGCCGTGGGCAGCTTCCCCCGAGGTCAGCCGCGTGGACCTGCCTCCCTCAGTGACCTGGGCCCCGCGAGGCCCGCCCAGAGCCTCCAAGGAGCCTCCACGCGGACCCCTGAGCCGCCGGGCGTGAGTGCCTGTGTAACAGTTCCGGACTTTCGTCCCTTTCCCTCTGATTCCTCCCGTCCCTCTCTGACAGCAGGACAGCCAGAGGGGAAGGAGGCGGAGAGGAAAGTCAGGACAGGCCGAGCCCCTTCTCCAGGCGGGAGCCCCACCTGGGCTCAGGCCTGCGCTGAGGAGGAGGGAGGGAGGAGGGAGCAGGCTGAGTAGGAGCCGAGATGGAAATGCTGATGTAGGAGACTGAATGGATCTTTTAAAAGGAGCCGTCATTACTGAAGCGGGACGAGGGCTTCTAAATGAACGTAGCCAGCGAGCGAAGGGCTGACCTGGAAGGTCGGCAGCGACAGGACGGTGTGACACACCGATTAGAGAAAAAGCAGCTTCCTGTCGCTGTCCCATACGAGGGGCACCGGTGAATGACGCGGATTCTTTTTATTTTTTCACATATGCATAACTCCACCTACTGAAAACCCCGCGTTATTCACCGGTGCCCCTGGAAGAGAGCGGTTCGCCAGCAAACGGTGGGGCCTCGCCCGGGACAGGTTTGGGAAGGACACGTGCTGCCAAGTGCTGGCCAGTGAGACGTGCGGGGAAGCTGGCTGGGGTGACAGGGAAAAGTTTTCCTTGTTCTTAAAAGAGAGAATAGGCCGAAACCGGTTTGGCTCAGTGGACAGAGCGTCGGTCTGTGGACTGAGGGGTCCCGGGTTCGATTCTGGTCAAGGGCATGTACATTGGTTGTGGGCACATCCCCGGTGGGGAGTGTGCAGGAGGCAGCTGGTCAATGTATCTCTCTCATGGAGCTCTCTATCTCTCTCCCTTCCTCCCTATGAAAAATCAATAAAATATATTTTTTAAAATGTTAAAAGAGAGAGAGAGAGAGAGAGAGACAGAGACAGTAGGATGGAGTGACTGCTTGGACTTTCTGACATTGTCATATGGAGGTATGATGCCCAGAGTGGTGGCCTCCCCTTTGTGACCTGAAGAGGAGTGGCTGGCAGGCCAAGATGGGGCAGAAAAAAAGGTGAAAGAGCCCTGGCCAGTTTGGCTCAGTGGATAGAGCATCAGCTTGCAGACTGAAGGGTCCCAGGGATTTCCATCAAGGGCATGTACCTCTGTTGCAAGCTTGATCCCCAACCCCTGCTTGGAGCACATGTGAGAGGCAACCAGCTGGTGTGTCTCTCTCACATCAATATTCATCTCTCTCTCTCTTCTCTCTCTCTTTCTTTCCCCCCTCCCTTCCTTCTACTCTCTCTACAAATCAATGGAAATATACCCTCAGGTGAGGATTAAAAAAAGAGAGACACGAAAGGAATCTGAGTCCATGGTGGGTTTACTAAGCTGCTGAATTATCCAAACTCCAAATTCCACTCTAACCTTGAAACTTATTATCTATAGATATAAAAGACTAATAGGCAAACTGTCCCCTCAGGAGTTCGACTATAGACCAGGAGATGGATTGCTCGCTATGATGTACACTGACCACTAGGGGGGACAGGGCGCGGTACGGAACAAAGGAAGACCCTGGCCTTGGCCTGCAGCTGGCAGCCAGGGAAGGAAGGCCCCAGCTGGCATCTGGAAGGCCCCCATCGGCCCTGATCCCCGGCCAGGCCTAGGGATCCTACCCGTGCACGAATTTCGTGCACCGGCCAAAAGGATGAGATAATAAACGTTCTTTATGGTTAAAGCACTTTTAGTGGGCTTTCTTTTCACACAGCTCAGCAGCTCCTGATATTCAAATGTCACCTTCTCTGAGAAGCCTTCCCTGACTGCTTAATCAGGCCAGCTCCCCAGCCCCTTTCCATCATAATCCCCTGGTTAACATTTAAAAAAAAATATGCGTTTTTTAAAATTGACTTTAGAGAGAGAGAGGGAGAGGGATAGAGAGACAGAAACATCAATGAGAGAGAAACATTGATCTGTGGCCTCCTGCACACCTCCCACTGGGGATTGAGTCAGAAACCTGGGCCTGTGCCCTGACTGGGAATCCAACCGTTGACCTCTTTTCATGGGTCAACACTCAACCATCACGCCACACCAGCTGGGCCTGGCTAACTTTTTTTTCATGCCACGTGTCACTATTAGAAATGCTCTTGCTTATTCCTCGCCCATTCCATGCCTAACTCTCTCCACTGGCATGTAAACTCCAAAAACGCTGCTTGTCCGTCTTGTCCGTTGCTAAATTCTCAGCGGGCGCGCCGTTAGGGGTGAAGGAATGAACTTATCAAGAGGATCGCTTCTCGGCCCTTTGGCTAAGATCAAGTGTGTACTGATCAAGAGGAGCAGGACCCAAGGCCAGAGAGGGGAGGAGAGACGGGGACTAGGAAGGCTGTGGGCTTGGGGCTGTAGCATGAGGGTAACGGGGAGTCCTTCTGATGGGGAGACTCCTCAAGGGGAAGGACTGTGTCTCCTACAGCCTGGGCCTCCTCCCTCTGGGTCTCCCCTCAAAGGCTGGGGCACATTTGGGTGCAAAAGAAACAAGCTCAGCCGAAGCCAGTTTGGCTCAGTGGTAGAGCGTCGGTCTGCGGACTGAAGGGTCCCAGGTTCGATTCCCGTCAAGGGCAGGTACATTGGTTGCGGGCACATCCCCGGTGGGGGGTGTGCAAGAGGCAGCTGGCCCGATGTTTCTTTCTCATCGACGTTTCTAGCTCTCTGTCTCTCTCCCTTCCTCTCTGTTAAAAATCAATAAAATATATATATTAAAAAAAAGAAAAAAGAAAAGAAAAAAAAAAAGAAACAAGCTCAGACTCCTTCCTGGGGCCCAGGATGGGTCCGAGTCCCGCAAGCCTCCTGCGTGCCCCGCCCTTGGCCCGGCACTCACCCGCCAAGCCGTACAGAATCACCATCTTCTGCTCCTCATAGATGCTCATCGGGTTCACCAGGAGCTGAAAGAGGCCTGCAGGGACAGAGTCAACGCCCAGACCCAAAGACGGGTGTGTCCCCCCCCCCGCCCCCACTTCTGCTCCGCACTCACCGACGGCCAGCAGCCCCCCAGTGCCTGCCCCCAGCAGGACGGCGGTGACCGGAAACTCGCCCGGCTGGCGCCACAGGAACCGGCTGCAGGAGGCGGGCAGTGCCCAGCCCAGGAGCCTCTGCACCGCTGAGAGCCAAAGCGTTCGGCCCCTCAGAGCCAACGCCTGGCTCTTCTGACCAGGGTGCGGGTCGGCAGGGCGAGGGCGTGCGGGGGGCTAGAGGCTGGGGGACCGGGAGGAGGAGGGGGGCAGGAACTGGGGGGGCCCTGAAGGAAGGGGGGCAGACTAGAGGGAAAAAAGAAGGAGGGGGGGCGCTGAATGAGGGGGGTGGGGTCCCCAAAGCGCAGGGGAGAGGGTCCTGGCGGAGAGATAGGATGGGAGGATGGGGGGCGGAGGCGCCGGGGAGGGGGTGCCGATGGCGATGGCGGACTCACTGGTGTGGGGCTCTCTCCTCCGCCGCCCGTTCTGTCCACCCTGGTGACCACCGGGGCCCATGTCTGCTCCGCGGAACCCTCTCTCGCTCAGAGTCTCCTCCGGGACCTCCTGGGGTGTGAGGTTCTGCTCCCGTCTCCTCTGCCTCACCCTCACCCGAGTGAGGCCTGTGTCTTCAGTCCCCCTCTGCCCTGGGACGGGGGATGGAGATTAGAGGTCCCAACGCACTCACAGGGAAAGCCCGGAACCTCAGAACACGGCGAGGAATTCCGTGGCTCCCAGGAGCCGTGGAACCTGGCGGCGTCTCCTGGCGACGGGCAGACACGCAGGCCCAGCAGCCATGCCCAAGGGCCTGCAGGACGCCGGGCGCCGCCCGGGGGCGGAGGAGCCGAGCCTGGCCCGGGCGCTGGTCCGCAGCCTGGGGGCCTTCGGCCTGGGCTTGTCCCTGGCCTCAGCCTACGGCCTCCTGGAGCTGCTGGTGGAGGGGCAGAGCCCTTGGGGCTGCCTGGTGGGCACGCTGACGCTGGCCGGCTTCCTCGGCCTAGGCATGGCGTTCTCCCGCCAGGTCCGGGTCACCGTCCTCCTGGTGCTGCCCCAGGCCTTCTCCAGTGAGCGTGGCGCCCCCCGGAGGGGGGGGCGGGCGGGCCTGGGCCGGGGGCTGGGGCAGGAGGGAGCTGGGGAGGTGGAGGGAGACACTCGGAAGGCTTCTGGAAGGGATTGGATGTGCTGCCTCTGATGGAGTCTCCCCCTGCCCGGTCCCCCCAGAGCAGAGCCAGGCGCTGATGCTCTTGGCGATCTTCGGGTTGGTGCTGCAGGGGCCCTGTGCCAACACCCTGCGCAACTTCACCCAGGCCAGCGAGGCCGTGGCCTGCGGGGCGGAGCTGGCCCTGAACCAGTCAGCGGTGTTGCTGCAGCGAGCAAAGCAGCCCCTTGTCAGTAAGGCTCCCGGCATCATTCCCTGCGGGTCCTGCCCCAGCCCCCCTGCTGGTCCTGCCCCAGCCCCCCTGCGGGTCCTGCCCCAGCCCCCCTGCGGGTCCTGCCCCAGCCCCCCTGCTGGTCCTGCCCCAGCCCCCCTGCTGGTCCTGCCCCAGGCCCCCTGCAGGTCCTGCCCCAGCCCCCCTGCTGGTCCTGCCCCAGCCCCCCTGCGCCCCGCAGGCCCCTCACCCCTGCTCCCCTGCCAGGGCAGCTCCTCTCAGACCCAAGCCTCCAGGCGCCCCGCCTCCCGGGCAGCCCCTCCCCCCGCCCTGCCCCAGGGACGAAGGGGTCCCCAGAGGAAGAGACCCCTCGGTGCCCCCGCCCCGCCCCCAGGTGCCCTGAACAAGATCAAAGCCATTGCCCAGAAGGCCAAGGAGGTGGCTGACCGGGTCCGCAAGTTCTTTCGGTCCGTCATGGACGGCGTGAAGCACGTAGGTCAGCGCATTCCCGTGTCTATGTGGGGGAGGGGGTGGTGGTGTCAACATTCACCAGGTCATGCCAACGCCGGTGTGGCTCAGTGGATAACGCGTCGGTCTGTGGACTGACAGGTCCCGGGTTCGATTCTGGTCAAGGGCATGTACCTTGGTTGCTGGCACATCCCCACTAAGGGGTGTGCAAGGAGGTGGATGGTTGATGTTTCTCTCTCGTCGATGTTTCTGGCTCTCTGTCCCTCTCCCTTCCTCTTTGTAAAAAATTCAATAAAATAGCAGAAACCGGTTTGGCTCAGTGGATAGAGCGTCAGTCTGCGAACTGAAAGGTCCCGGGTTCGATTCCGGGCAAGGGCATGTACCTTGGTTGCGGGCACATCCCCAGTGGGGGGTGTGCAAAGAGGCAGCTGATCGATGATTCTCTCATCGATGTTTCTAACTCTCTATCCTTCTCTCTTCCTCTTCGTAAAAAATCAATTCTATATATATATATATATATATATATATATATATATATATATTTTTTTTTTTTTTTTTTAAATGTCACCCAGTCTCCTCGCCCTCACCCTCGTCCGGAGCCTGTGGTTCCTTCCTGGGTGCTGACTCTCCCCGAGGGACACACACAGCCGGGCCCCTGGGCACAGGCCTCTCAGCTCTGGGTGCCTCCCTGTGTCCCCCACGCCCCTGATCGGGGCCTCGGTACCAGCCCGAGCTTCCCCAGCCAGGGCCCTGCGCAACGTGTGGTACTGGCTCCTGCACATCGGAGACGTGTGCAACGCGGAGCTGGGCAACCCGTACCTGAAGTGTGCGCGCGTCTTCGACCAGGCCAAGGACAGCTGCATGCAGGTCATCCCGCTGGCCTACCATCTGTGCCACGTGCTCATGCCCTTCAAGCTGGTGCTCTGCGGGCTCGCCAGCGGTGAGGGGCCGGGGCTCCGGGCGGGACTGGGGGCCCCTGCGAACTGGGGGAGGCTCCGTCGTCGGGAGGGCGGGCCCAGGGGATCAGCAGGGGGTGAGGACTGTGGGGCCAGGAAGGATGCTGGCCCAGCCAAAACCGGTTTGGCTCAGTGGATAGAGCGTCGGCCTGCGGACTGAAGGGTCCCGGGTTCGATTCCGGTCAAGGGCATGTACCTTGGTTGCGGGCACATCCCCAGTGGGGGGTGTGCAGGAGGCAGCTGATCGATGCTTCTCTCTCATCGATGTTTCCAACCCTCTATCCCTCTCCCTTCCTCTCTGTAAAAAAATCTATCTATCTATCTATCTATCTATCTATCTATCTATCTATATATAAAAGGATGCTGGCCCAGCACGGGGTGGAGGGAGGATCGTGAGAAAGAAACGTGGGAGGGTGAGGGGACAAGGAGCAGCCAGAAGGTTTTGAGCCGGAGGTGTTGAGGCTGGTAGGACAAGCCAGAGGTCCAGAGGCCCCTGTGGGAGCACGGCCCCTGGAGGCAGGAGCGGCCGGCCGCCTCTCTGCCCGCCTGACCCGCGGCCTCCGGCTGGCAGTGGTCCAGGTGTTCTGCATCATCCCCAAGTACATCCAGCCCTTCCTGCGCACGACCATCAGCATCCGTGAGTGACCCCGCCGGGCCCTGCAGCCTGAGGTGCTCCCGGGAGGTCTTCCTCCCGCCCTCCCCCCCATCCCTCCCTTCCTGCCTCCCTCGCCCGGCATGGCCGTCGCCAGCCGGGGAGTGCTCCCCGTTAGTGAATGAGAATGCGAGAGCAGTCAGGGACCGCAGCAGGTTGCCTGGAGCAACATCCGTGCTGTGCGGACTGGGAAACTGAGGCCCGGCCACGGGGAGGCGCCTCACCAGAGCCTGACTGTGGAGCAGAGCTAGTGAGGGCGTTGTCCCTTCCTCGGTGGCTGAAAGCACTGGGGGGGGGGGGGGGGAGTCCTGGTCTGCAGCTTCTGGCCCTGTGCCAGGCCCCTCCTCCCTCCGTGAGGCCCTGTGTCCCCCTCGCTGTCCTCGCTCACCTCTCCCCTGACCTGCGGCCCCAGCCGTGCAGAAGCTGATCAACCGGGTGCGCCAGGAGTTTGAGTTCAACGTGACGGCCACCCACTACTTCTCCGTGGACCTGGACGCCTCCCGGAGCCTGTCCCAGGTCGCCCTGGACCTCTACGAGGCCGTCAGCATGAAGCTGTACAGCGCCCGCGAGGCCCTGGCGCTCATGGGCTACGCCACCCCGCTGCTGCTCATGCTGCTCTACCTCCAGTGAGGGCCGGGGCCGCGGGGGGGGGCCAGGCCGCGGTCGGCACACCCGTTAGTCCACAGAGCCCAAAACCACAGCACAGCGACGGCATTTCTTTTGAGAGCCAAAGTTGGGTTTTGTTTTTGTTTTTGTTTTTTTAATAGAGAGAGAGGTTAGAAACACTGATCAGCTGCCTCCTGCACACCCCCCACTGGGGATGTGCCCGCAACCAAGGCACATGCCCTTGCCCGGAATCGAACCCGGACCCTTCAGTCCGCAGGCTGACGCTCTATCCACTGAGTTTTTAAACTTAAACTTCTTCTCACGCCACTTCTTCAAAATAGACTCTCTGGGCCTCGGTATTCTGTGCAAGAGCCACACTCAAGGGGCCAAACAGCTGCATATGGCTCAGGAGCTGCAGTTTGCCGACCACGGTCCCATGGCGTTCCGGGGGTTGGAGTTCCCGTGTGTGTGTGTGTGGGGGGGGGCCGCCCTGCGGGGCCGGGCCGGGTGCTGAGGGGCCCGTGTGTGTGTGTGGGGGGGGGGGGGGAGGCCGCCCTGCGGGGCCGGGCCGGGTGCTGAGGGGCCCGTGTATGTGTGTGTGGGGGGGAGGCCGCCCTGCGGGCTGGGGGGGCGCCCTGCGGGGCCGGGCCGGGTGCTGAGGGGCCCGTGTGTGTGTGTGGGGGGGGGGGGGAGGCCGCCCTGCAGGGCCGGGCCGGGTGCTGAGGGGCCCGTGTATGTGTGTGTGGGGGGGAGGCCGCCCTGCGGGGTCGGGCCGGGTGCTGAGGGGCCCGTGTATGTGTGTGTGTGGGGGGGAGCCCACCCTGCGGGGCCGGGCCGGGTGCTGAGGGGCCCGAGTGTGTGTGTGGGGGGGAGGCCGCCCTGTGGGGCCGGGCCGGGTGCTGAGGGGCCCGTGTGTGTGTGTGGGGGAGGGCCGCCCTGCGGGGCCGGGCCGGGTGCTGAGGGGCCCGAGTGTGTGTGTGTGTGGGGGGGGGGGGAGGCCGCCCTGCGGGGCCGGGCCGGGTGCTGAGGGGCCCGTGTGTGTGTGTGTGTGGGGGGGGGGGGGGGGAGGCCGCCCTGCGGGGCCGGGCCGGGTGCTGAGGGGCCCGTGTGTGTGTGTGTGTGTGGGGGGGGGGGGAGGCCGCCCTGCGGGGCCGGGCCGGGTGCTGAGGGGCCCGTGTGTGTGTGTGTGGGGGGGGGGGGGGGGGAGGCCGCCCTGCGGGGCCGGGCCGGGTGCTGAGGGGCCCGTGTGTGTGTGTGTGTGTGGGGGGGGGGGGAGGCCGCCCTGCGGGGCCGGGCCGGGTACTGAGGGGCCCGTGTGGGTGTGTGTGGGGGGGAGGCCGCCCTGCGGGGCCGGGCCGGGTGCTGAGGGGCCCGTGTGTGTGTTGGGTGCAGGGGGGGGGGCCGCCCTGCGGGGCCGGGCCGGGTGCTGAGGGGCCGTGTGTGTGTGTGTGGGGGGGGGGGGGAGGCCGCCCTGCGGGGCCGGGCCGGGTGCTGAGGGGCCCGTGTGTGTGTGTGGGGGGGGGGGGGGGGGGGGAGGCCGCCCTGCGGGGCCGGGCCGGGTGCTGAGGGGCCCGTGTGTGTGTGTGTGTGTGGGGGGGGGGGGGGAGGCCGCCCTGCGGGGCCGGGCCGGGTGCTGAGGGGCCCGTGTGTGTGTGTGTGTGGGGGGGGAGGCCGCCCTGCGGGGTCGGGCCGGGTGCTGAGGGGCCCGTGTGTGTGTGGGGGGGGGGGGGGGGGGAGGCCGCCCTGCGGGGCCGGGCCGGGTGCTGAGGGGCCCGTGTGTGTGTGTGGGGGGGGGGGGGGAGGCCGCCCTGCGGGGCCGGGCCGGGTGCTGAGGGGCCCGTGTGTGTGTGAGGGGGGGGAGGCCGCCCTGCGGGGCCGGGCCGGGTGCTGAGGGGCCGTGTGTGTGTGGGGGGGGGAGGCCGCCCTGCGGGGCCGGGCCGGGTGCTGAGGGGCCGTGTGTGTGTGGGGGGGGGGAGGCCGCCCTGCGGGGCCGGGCCGGGTGCTGAGGGGCCCGAGTGTGTGTGTGTGGGGGGGAGGCCGCCCTGCGGGGCCGGGCCGGGTGCTGAGGGGCCGGCCTGCCCCCAGGGCGCTGCTGTACCGGTTCTGCTACCTGCACGTGGACAGCCATGACAACCTGTACATCACCGGCCGCTTCCTGCGCATGGAGGCCGTGCGCGCCGAGGCGGGGCTGCCCACCGTGCTGCCCCTCACCGCCCACGAGGCCAGGCACTACATCCGGCCAGGTGCGGGGACCCCAACCCGCGCCCTGACCCGAAACCCCTCGACAGGCTGGGCTCGGCGCAGGGCCGGAGGCGGGGGACCACCCGGGGCTCCGTCCTTGGGGAGCCCTCCGTGCGGAGGGAAAGTGGGGCTCCTCGTAGCGGGCAGACCGAGGAGGGGCAGACAGGGGGGCAGACCGAGGAGGGGCAGACAGGGGGGCAGACTGAGGAGGGGCAGACAGGGGGGCAGACTGAGGAGGGGCAGACAGAGGAGAGGCAGACAGAGGGGCAGACCGAGGAGGGGCAGACAGAGGGGCAGACTGAGGAGGGGCAGACAGGGGGGCAGACCGAGGAGGGGCAGACAGGGGGGCAGACCGAGGAGGGGCAGACAGGGGGGCAGACCGAGGAGGGGCAGACAGGGGGGCAGACCGAGGAGGGGCAGACAGGGGGGCAGACTGAGGAGGGGCAGACAGGGGGGCAGACTGAGGAGGGGCAGACAGAGGAGAGGCAGACAGAGGGGCAGACCGAGGAGGGGCAGACAGAGGGGCAGACTGAGGAGGGGCAGACAGGGGGGCAGACCGAGGAGGGGCAGACAGGGGGGCAGACCGAGAAGGGGCAGACAGAGGAGAGGCAGACAGAGGGGCAGACCGAGGAGGGGCAGACAGAGGAGGGGCAGACAGGGGGGCAGACCGAGAAGGGGCAGACAGAGGAGAGGCAGACAGAGGGGCAGACCGAGGAGGGGCAGACAGAGGAGGGGCAGACAGAGGGGCAGACCGAGGAGGGGCAGATGATGCTTCCTGGAGCACCCAGACACCAGGACAGAGAGAGCGAGAGGGCGGGGAGTGGAGATGGAGCGCGAAAGGTGAGGGTGGGCCGAAACCGGTTTGGCTCAGTGGCTAGAGCCTCTGCCTGCAGACTGGAAGGTCCCGGGTTCGATTCCGGTCAAGGGCACGTACCTTGGTTGCGGGCACATCCCCAGTCGGGGATGTGCAGGAGGCAGCTGATGGATGAATTTCTCTCATCGATGTTTTTAGCTCTCTATCCCTCTCCCTTCCTCTCTGTGAAAAATCAATAAAAGATATATTTTTAAAAAAAAGGAAAGAAAGGGGAGGTGGGGAGGCGTTGGGGTGTGCGTGTGGAGATGTGGAGGAGATGCTGTGGGGGCTGTCTGTGAACCCGGGAGTTGAGAATGGGGCTCAGGGTTCCCTGGGGAGGGACTGGAAATGGGCCGCAGGCCCAGGAGCAGAATCTAGGCCTCCGCGCCGGCTCTGGGGCCTGACCTCGAAGAGGGCTCCCCGCTCCGCCCAGGGGCCCTCGCAGCTCCACACGCGCCAGAGGCACACGCAGGCCCCGGTCCCAGGCGGGCTGCGGGGGGCGGGGGTGGGCCTCAGGAGAGAGGCCCCTCAGGCTGCAGTCTGCGGGGAGGCCCTGGGAGCGGCCCCCACCAGCCCTCCCTCCCCAGGCTCCTGCTACCTGTCCCGGTGGGAACAGCTGTTCCTCCTCCTGGCCATCTCCCACCTCCTCCGGCACCTGCTCATCACGCTGCTGCTCATCTTCCTGGACTACGCCGTCTTCTGGGTGCTGGACCTGGCCCGGCACCACCTGCAGGGGGAGATGGTGGCCCGCAGTGAGCGCCCGCCCCTCCCGACCCCCTCTGCCCGGCCTGCCCCGCCCCCGCCCCACCATCCCGGGGCTTCGCCTGCCTGAGTCCCCTTCTTCCTCCTTCCCCTCTGCCCGGCCCGGCCCTGCCCCGTCCTCACTGTTCCTCACCAGCCTCCAACGCCACCCTCTGCCTGGCGAACCCTGTGTCCAGGTCAAGGCCACACCGTAGCCGAGTCCTTAGACTCCCATGTTCTGGAGCCGGACGGCTCTGGGTTCAGATCCCTTTCCGAGGCGGGGACGTGAGCAGGTTGTTTGACTGCCCGGAGCTCCACTTCCTCCTGGAACAGCCGGGCAGTGTGGGCAGCAGCCGGCGGGTCCCTCTCAGGAGGAAATGAGGCCACGGGCGGTGACTGCCTGGCAGATGGTTGACTGGACGTGTGGACAACCAGGGCACCCCGGAACCTAATCCTGTTACCGGAGGGCCGACAACCAACGTAAAAGACACCCCGACAACCCATAAAGCACTCGGTCCGTGCCCACCGCACAGCCAGCGCTTAGCAGATGCTTTTTATTTTATTTTTTAAAAATATATCTTATTGATTTTTTACAGAGAGGAAGGGAGAGGGATAGAGAGCTAGAAACATCGATGAGAGAGAAACATCAACCACCTGCCTCCTGCACACCCACCACTGGCGATGTGCCTGCAACCAATGTACACGCCCATGACCGGAATCGAACCCGGGACCCCTCAGTCCGCAGGCCGACGCTCTCTCTACTGAGCCACACCGGTTTTGGCAGCAGATGCTTTAACTCAAATGCATGGGCAGCCGTGGGGGTGGGGGGCGGACTCGCTGGCCATTAAGGTCACCTCGGACCTGGAGGCCTGGGCGGGCGGACCAGGCACCGTGCCCGCCGGCTCTGCACTCGGGGCGCCGTGCCAGGTGCCCGGTGCCGGAAGGCCAGGTGCTGAGGGCGGAGGAGCGGCCACACACCCCTCACCGGGGTCTCTGCGCCAGGCCCCGTGCTGGTGTCCATCACCGTGGAAGGCAGCGGCTACACCGGGACCATCTACCGGGACCTGGTGTCGGCGTTTGACGTCCTGCAGCAGGGCAACATCACGGTCCTGTCCCGGCGCTGCGCGCTGCGGCCCTCCGAGCCCAGCACCGCCGGCTACATCGTCATCGGTAACGCCGGGCCCCTGGGGCGCGGGGCCGACATGGGCCCCAGGCGGGGCCCGCGGGGTGCAGGCGGCGGAGGGGGGGTGTGGCTGGCGCCGCACCCACCGGCCGTGCCCGCTGTGTCCTCCGGGCCCCCAGGCGTCATGTTCGGCCTGTGCTTCTTCGTCACCCTGTGCGGCAGCTACGTCAGCCGGCTGCGGCGGGTCATCTGTGCGTCCTACTACCCAGCCCGGGAGCAGGTGAGCGGCCGCCGCCGGGCCCTGCCCCTCCCCTCCCCCCCCGGGGCCGGTCTGGCTATCTCAGTCTGGGGAGCTTGGAGTCCTTCAGCAGCCCCAGTCCTCGCTCGCCCGGGGGGTCCCCAAAACAAATGACCTCGACAGAAGGTCTCCCGATGTCACAGGGGCTGGGAAAAGGGCCTCCTGAAACAGAGCTTGCCTCCCAAGAATTGTTTTGTGTTGTTTAAAAACATAATACATTTTGTTGAATTTTTCAGAGAGGAAGAGAGAGGGATAGAGAGTTAGAAACCTTGATGAGAGAGAACCATCAATCAGCTGCCTCCTGCACATCCCCCATGGGGGATGTGCCCGCAACTAAGGTACATGCCCCCAACCGGAATCGAACCTGGGACCTTTCAGTCCGCAGGCCGAAGCTCTATCCACTGAGCCAAACCGGTTTCGGCTAAACTATATTTTTATTGACTTCAGAGAGAAAGGAGAGGGAGAGAGAGAGAGAGCAACATCAATGATGGGAGAGAAGCACGGATTGGCTGCCTTGTGCACGCCCCCTACGGGAGGAATCCAGCCCAACACTTGGGCATGTGCCCTTGACCGGAATCGAACCCAGGATCCTTCAGTCCACAGGCCGATGCTCTATCCACTGAGCAAAACCAGCCGGGGCCCACGTGTTGCTGAGACGGTGGGGAAAGGGGCCATGTGGGCACGCCGAGGTGCGAGTGGAAACTCACCATTTGCTCATTCGTTTACGCGCCATTTGCTGAGCATCTACCGTGTGCCAGCCCCTGTGCCGGCAGCGGGGATGCCAGGACGCACAGACAGCGTCTGGGCTCCCGGTGTCCAGGCAGGCCAGACGGGCTCCTAACAAGACATTACAAGCGAACAAGTGTTCCTGCTGAGGAGAGAATCCGGTGCTATGGAAACCAGAGGAGGGAAGGGGCCGCGGCCCGGGGGGCCTGGAGGCTTTGCAGGGGAAAGGGAGTCTGAGCCAGCCCGGAGGGACTCCTGGGAGTCGGAGGGAAGGCGGAGGGAGGGGGTGCCAGGCGGATGACCCTGGGTGAGGGGTACCCCGTCCCTGCCCTGCCCTTCCCCAGGCGAGGATCTCCTACCTCTACAACCAGCTCCTGAGCCGCCGGACCTCCCTGCTGGCCGCCCTGCAGCGGTCTGTGAGGCGGCGGGCGGCGGACCAGGGCCACCTGAGCCTCCTCCAGGTGCTGGCCAGGCGGTGAGCCCATGGCCCTCCCTATGGGCGCGGGGCAGAGAGGGCCAGGACAGACGCCGGGAGCCAGGATGCACCCTGTCCGCCCTCCATATCCAGAAGAGAATCCTCCCCCCTCAGGCCATTCTCACACTGAGAGGGAGGCTGAGGGGTGCATGTCCTTAGGGGAGGGGCGCGAAGGGAGGAGGCGGACAGGGAGCAGGCGGCGGCAGCCCGCGGGATGGCGGTCAGGCTGCAGGAGGCCTGCCCTCGGTGCCGGGGTGGTGCTGGACGGAGGGGACGGCCGGCCTGGCTGGCTGGCTGGCTGGCCGGCTGCTGAGGGCCGGGACCCTCTCGCAGGTGCGTCTGTGTGGCTCCGTTCAGGAAGTACCTTTGGCACTACCAGGCCTACTGCCTGGGCTGCGGGCAGCCCCGGGGCGAGGGGGACTCAGAGAACTTTGTGCCCTGCAGCACCCCCGCCTGCCCAGGTGAGGTCCTGGGCTCCCTGCCTGTGCATGCGGCCATCAGCCCGGCCACACGGCCCTTCCCTCAGGGGCCTCCCTCCGTTACCGTGCATGGTCTGCTCACGGACACAGACCCCGCAGGGAGCAGCTGCTCCTGTGGGCCTCAGATCTCCCACGCGGGAGCAGGATGTAATGCAGGGGGCCTGCAGCAACTCCCTAGTGTGCACTCCTTGACAAGGGTCCCCCAATCCCCCCCGCCTCCCCCCTCCCCCCCCGGTGGTGGATAGGAGGAAGCCAGGAGCAGAGGGGGCGAGCGGTGCGCTCCAGTTTGCCTCCCCTCCCTGCCCCCCCCCCCAGGCCTTTTCTGCCCCACCTGCTTCCGCCTCCTGGGCAACACCTGCTCCGTGTGCGCGTCCCCCCTCTCCTACCAGGGGGAGCTGGACCTGGAGCTGTGAGTCTCCGGCGGGAGGGGGGCTGGAGGCCGGGGGGCTGGAGGCCGGGGGTGGGGAGGGGAGAGGAGGGGGGAGCAGCCCCCCCCCCAGGCCCTGTGTGGGTGCTGACCCGGGAGGCCCCTCCAGGGACTCCAGCGACGAGGAAGGCCCCCGGCTGTGGCTGGCCGCGGCTCAGAGGAAGAACCCTGCGCAGGAGGGGCTGCTGCGGCAGCGGCTCCAGGAGGCGCTGGGCAGGCCCCTCTCGGCAGGGTCCAGCCCCGAGTCCAGGTGAGCGGGAGGCAGGGGTCGGCCCCGGGCCTAAGCGCGTTTGCAGATGGCTTCTCGGGAGCCGGGCCTCCGTTCGAGTTGGGGACGGAGGTGAAAAGCAGGAGGCATGGAGGTTTGCTGAGTGCTTGCTTCCTGTTAGCACTCCTTCCCGGAGAAGCCCACTGAAGGGGGTGGGGGTGGGAGCGAATCTACTAGGTGACAGCAGGGTGCAGAGTGGCCCATGCAGGGAGTGGAGCAGGCACTGGGCGGTAAGAGAGCAGCCAGTCTGGACTAGGGGTGCAGTGATGATGGCTTCTGGGAAGAGAGGAAGAAAGAGGTGAGCCGAAACCTGTTTGGCTCAGTGGACAGAGCGTCGGCCTGCGGACTGAAAGGTCCCGGGTTCCATTCCGGTCAGGGGCATGTACCTTGCTTGGTTGCAGACACATCCCCAGTAGGGGGTGTGCAAGAGGCAGCTAATCGATGATTCTCTCTCATGATGTTTCTAACTCTCTATCCTTCTCTCTTCCTCTCTGTAAAAAATCAATAAAATATATTTTAAAAAAAGAAAGAGGTGGGATGGGGAGCAGCTTGGTGGTTGGTTAGGCTGAGAGCAGAGGAGAGCATTGCAGGGCTGGGGGCCTGTGTGAGCCTGGAGACCCTGAGGGGAAAGCCTAAGGGAGGGGTGAGCCTAAGGGAGGGGTGAGCGTGTCTGGATGGAGACCAGAGAGGATGCTGGGAGATAAGGTGGTAAGTCCAGGTGGGGAGAGATGGGAGAAGGCACGACTTGCCATTGGAATGTTCTTTTTTATTTTTCCCTATTTTTTTTTTAAATATATATATTTTAATTTACTTCAGAGAGAAAGGGAGAAGGACAGACAGATAGAAACATCAATGATGAGAGAACCATTGACTGGCTGCCTCCTGCATGCCCCCCACTGGGGATTGAGCCCACAACCTGGCAGGTGCTCCTGACCGGAATCGAACCCGGGACCCTTCAGTCCACAGGCCGACGCTCTATCCACTGAGCCACACCAGCCACGGCGATCAGAAGATTCTTGGTCAGGAAGCGACATGTTCATAATTTTGTCTTTTAGGGAAATAAGCTAAGGAGGCAGAGAGGAGGCTCTTAGTTCAGAAGTCGGTGGTGGCCTCAAGGCTGAGGTGCCGAACCAGACGGGGGTTTTTGTCTGGGACATGGCAGGTGCCGGGGGGGGGGGGGGCAGGTCCAGGGTAAGAGGAAATGGTGCAGTGCGAGGCCTTGGAGTGTCTATAGAGAATCCAGCTGGAGGGGCCCAGGAGACGCTGGGGAAAGGCCGGACTCAGGGCTACAAGTGCATCTTGGGGGGTGTTGACTGTAAGGAGGAGGAGGATCTAGGCCATTCTGGCAGAGGCCATGGCAGGAGAGGAGAAGGGGACAGGGTCAGAACCCCAGGGGCTCGATCACAAACCAAGGAGGAGACAGGCTCCGAGGATAAGAGAGCCAAGCACGTCCAGTGCTGAGAGGACCCGCAGGCTGAGGCCTGGGCCCGTGGGGGTTGGGGACGGAAGGACCGTTGGAGCGGCCGTGGGGACATTTTTAACGGCCCCAGGAAGACCGGAGCCGGCCCAGGATGAGTTGCGGGGTGACTGGAATGGAAGGCTCAGAGACAGGGTTCAAGGCCTCACAGCATTGTTGCAAGAATTCTTTTTAAAAACATCGCTGCTGGAGTTTAAGAAAGGAAGCTTGGTGGCGAAGAGGGGAGTCAGCGTCACTCAGTGAGAGAGCAGCTTGAGGAGGACCTGCACGAAGGGCCTTTTCTGTATCCCAGGGCGGGAGCCCCCAGTACGGGCGGGAAAACGAGCACTGAAGGGAGGAGAGAGGAAGGAAGGTCCCTCTTCCCTCCTCCCGGTGACCCCCCACCCCCACTATTGGGGGTACCTGGGCAGCTGTGCAAATAGGCACATGGGGGGGATGGGGTCAGGGTGGCTTCCGATAGGCTGTGCTCTGGGGCCTGGCTTTTCTCTGGGGAGGAGGAGGCAGGGGTGCCGGCCGGAGGGGAGCAGAGTTGGAAGGTGGTGGAGGGTGGAAGGCCGCCTCGGGGAGTGTGCCGGAAGCTGAGAGGGAGGAAGGGACTTCTGGGTGGCATTAAAGGCCCAGATGATGTTAAAAACACAACCTGTAACGACTGGCCTGTGTGCTCAGTTGTGTGTGTGTGTGTTGTTGTTTTTTTTAACTTATTGATTGATTTGAGGAAGAGAGAGGAAGAGAGGGAGGGAGAAACATGAAATTGCTGCTCCACCTATTGACGCGTTTGTTGGTTGATTCTCGTTTGCCCTGACCAGGGATCGACCCCACAACCCTGACGCCTCAGGATGACACTCACACACTGAGCTGCCCGATCGGGGAGGGTCTGTGGGCTTTTCCCCCTGGCAGACGTGGCCGTCACCAACAGGGCAGCCCGGGGACGTCCTAGGTGGGGGGAGAAGGTGGGTCTCCACAGTGAGACTGGCCGTGGGGAGGAGGAGGGCCTGGGAGCTCAGGGGAAGTCCAGGGAATACGTCAGGATGTGTGAGTGCAGGCACAGTGGCCGGGAGGGACAGAGAGAACGAGCCACAGCGAGGGAAGACATCCCAGTGAGTGGCCAGAGTGGAGGGGGATGCCTGAGTGGGAGCAGAGGGGAAGGTCATAGGGCAAGAGTCAAAAGGCCAGAGTTGGAGGAGTCCTCCCATGAGGAGGCTGCTGGGCCACCCGTCTGAGACAGGACCCCAGACAGGTGGGGCAGAGCATCTGGGAGGCCCGGGGAGACAGCCAAGGCCTCGCAGTGCGGCTGCCATGGCAACGGGGAACGCCACTGGCCGGTGGGATGAGAGACCAGCAGCCTCCACGGGGAGGAGTGACCACGGGCACATTCTGTGGGAAGGGGCTGGGGATGGTGTTGAGGGGAGGGGAGAGGGGAAGGCAAGTTCAGGGAACTTGAAAGCTGAGTCACCAGAGCGGGCGGCGTGAGCCTTGAGCAGGGATTCTGGCCGCGGCCTCACTGGTTCTGGCCGCACTAGCCACGTGACCTTGGGCAAGCCATTGCCCGCTGGTCTGTCATCATCCGCCCCAAGTCAGTGTCCATGCCCCTGGCTGATGTGCTGGGGGCCTGAGAGCAGCCAGTCTGGTGCCCAACGAGAGGCAAATTGGAACAGATGGGACAGGGGCAGGGATGTGTCTGTGAGAAGGGACGGGGGAGGGATGTGTGTGTGAGAAGGCAGTGACCCATGGGCCCTTCCTTGCCTCACTAGTGACCTGGACGAGCAGGGACCCTGATGGAGGAAGCACAGGCCACAGCCCCTACCTGCAGCCCCACCAGCCAGCATTCCCAAGCCCTTAGCCCCTGGGACCGCCTCCCCCCATGTTCGGTCTCCACAGCAGCCATCTCCCTCCCTCCCCCAGGTTGGGGCTCCAGACCCTGTCTCCCCTCCCCCTCCACCACATCCCTCCCCCCTGCCCCCAAATAAAGGAACCAAAGGTGGACAATGTGAATCTTAAATTATTATTATTTCTTCCTGTCCCTTACACCAGAGGTGGGGGGTAAGGGAAGGGGGAGGGAACAGGAGAGGGGGGTTGCCTCCCCCCCTAAGGCACTGAGTGGAGAAGCAGCAAGGAGGGAGGGCGGAGGCCATTGTCCTCGCTCCCTAGGGATGGGCCCCAGGTTTTCCCCAACCTCGGGCTCCCCTAATGGCCTGAAATGCTAAGATGAGGCCCCCGAGCAACCCGACCTCCCCCTACCCCAATATATTACATCATTACTTTTTAAATAGATACAGGGACTGGTCCCACTACCCTCCTCCCTGTGACCCCCCCTTCCCCCACTATTGGGGGGTGGGGGTACCTGGGCAGCTGTGCAAATGGGCATAGGGGTGCATGGGAGGGCGAGCACCGGGCCCCTGAACCTGCCCCTTGTAAGGAGGGGGAGGGGCCGCGAGGTGGGGCGGGGGCGGGGGTCATAGTGCAAGGCAGAACCCAGGCCACAAGGGGGTCCAGCACCCAGCGAGGAAGGGGAGGGGGCGGAATCGGGTAGTTAAAAATCTGAAACTAGATCTCGACAGGGCCCAGGGAAGAGGCTTATGTACAGAAGAGGGCGGGCTGGACCCTCAGGGGGCCTGGCTGGCAGGGTTCGGGGAAACGGACTCCCCATTCCCGGGGGTCCAGCGAGGTGTGATCTCGGCCTCAGTTCAGGGCCCGGCTCCCCAGGCGGCGGCGGCGGCGGAAGGTGGTGAGGCCGAGCGGCCGCTGGGGGCGCGCGCCCGCCGCGAGGGGCACGGCCGCCAGGGGGCGCCGGCGGGCCCGCTCTCTGCTCTCGGCTCGCCCGCCCGGCCCACGCCCAGCGCCCGCCAGCCCGGGGGCGGCGTGAGTCAGGGGCGGCAGCGGCCGCACCTGGGCGGGGAGGGGGCGGGGTGCAGGCGAGGGTAGGACAGCCCGGCCCGCCCTGCCCTCTGGCCCCGGGGAGGGAGCGGCGGGAACAAGACATTCCCTGCCCGGGGACGCGGGAGGGGCGGGAGGACGGAGCCGGCTGCGAGCGCACCCCTGGCTGGGCGGGGCCCTCCCGCTGCCCCCGGGGGCAGGCGCGCCGATCGCCACCCCGCCCCCTTCTCCTCCTGGACCCCATGACTCAGCGCTGGGAGCCGGGAGCTGGGCGGAGGGGGGCTGGGATGGCTCCTTCCTTACAGGCCCAGGCCCCCTCCCCCCAGAGGTCGGTCATCCTAGCGTCTACCTTGCTTTCTACCCCACCTACCTACCCTCCTTTGCCCCCCCACCCCTGCACTGCCAGGAAAAGGGAACAGAAACCAGGAAGGAGGGGTCTAGGAAGGGAGGGGCTGTCTGTCCTTCACCCCCTGACACAGCCAAAGCCCCAAGGGGCGTGGGGGCAGGGCAAGGCTTTGGTCCCAAGCCTCCCACCCCCTAGAAACCCGCATAGCCGAAGAGGGACCCCGGGACCCCCCCACAAATCAGAAATACATTATTGCTTCTACTCCCCAGGCACAGCCGGAGACAGGGACCACCCCCCTTTACAACAGAGCTGTCAATATGTACATCATCCTATCGTACGGGTCACTCCTTGGGAGATCACCCCAATCGGGGGAGCCTTTTCGCCCCCCCCAAAAAACCTTCTCAAGCTTGGGACTGGAATCAGGGCTCTGGGGAGGGGGGGGGACGCTTTCCGACACCAGGGAGGTTCAGTGCTCGGACCCCAGCGCTCTGTCCGTCTGTCCTGCAGGCTCCCACTGCTTGGCATGGGCGGCTGCTCCGGCCGGGCCGGCCCCCTCTCTAAGAGGACTCCATGGCGCCTTCGGCCTGCTGGGGAGTGGCGGGGGCCCCCTCGTCCTCGTCCTCGTCGGGGGGCCCTGGGGTGGAGGCCGGGGGCCCGGCAGGGGCCGACTGCTCCCAGAACCGGGACAGCGAGAGGCGGAAGGTGTCCAGGTGGCCGTTGGAGAGGTCCAGGCCGGCGGGGGCGGGGGCAGCGGCCGCGGGCGGCGGGTAGTGGGGCGGAGCATCGTCCTTGCGGCGCCGCCGGGTGCGCACCTCCAGGCAGTTCTGGCCCTTGAGGTGGCGCTGCAGGTGGTCCTCCTTGGCGAAGGCCTTGTGGCACAGGTGGCACTCGTAGGGCCGGTCCCCCGTGTGCAGGTGCATGTGGTTCTTGAGGTCGTAGCTGTGCAGGAAGCGGGCAGGGCAGTGCGGGCACGAGTAGGGGCGCTCTCCCGTGTGCTTCCGCATGTGGATCTTCAGCTTGTCGTTCCTGGCGGGCAGCGGGGAGGAGAGAGGGGCCTGTCAGGACCGGGGCTTTGGCCAGATCCCCAGGCCATATGCTGCCGGCAATCCCAGGCTGGCCAATACCCCTCATCCTTTGCTTCCCCCGCGCTGCCCCAGAATGCCCCTGCTGACTGCGTCTCATCTTTCATGCCCCACACCCACCCCTCTTGACTCCCTTTCGCCTGCCTTCCTACCCTGGTCTCTCTCCTCGTTTCTGGTAACCTCCATCCCCACCCCCACCCCTAGCCAGGCCCTCCAGGTTCACCCTCCCCGGGACCCCCTCCCCACGGGTGCTCACCGGGTGAACCGGACGCCGCAGACCTCGCAGGCGAAGGGCTTCTCGCCCGTGTGGGTCCTCATGTGGCGCGGCAGCTTGCCGGCCCCGTGGATGATCTTGTGGCAGACGGGGCACTCTTGGGGCATCTGGGAGCGGCGCTTCCGCACCCCCAGCTTGTCCTGGCCGTCCAGGCCGGGGGCCAGGGCGTCCTGGTGCAGGGAGCTCAGGTAGGCCATCAGGTCCGGGTCGATGGCATCCTCATCGGAGCCCACGTCGTCGGGGGACAGCGGGGGCCCGGCGACCTGTGCCAGCCGGTAGGCCGAGGCGTACGACTCCAGCTCCTGCTCCTCCTCCTCTTCCTCGCCTTCGAAGGGCTCATAGTTCATGGGCCCCTCTGGGGGGGAGGCTGCCCCCGCGGGAGGGCTGTAGCTGTCTCCCAGCCCGCTGCCCGCACTGCCGCCCACCCTGCCCGCCGCCACCTCCTCCTCCTCGTAGGCCAGGGGGTGGGTGGGCATCGGGGGCGCCTCGGGCACGAGGTGGTTCGCCCGGGACCCCTTGGTCTGCAGGAACGCTTTTCGGGGCTTGCGGCTGCGGCGGGCGACGGGCCGGGCGGGCGGCGGCGGAGGCGCCTGCGGGGGGCTGTCCTCGCCGTTGGGGACCCCCGAGGCCGTGGCCGTGGCCGTGGCGAAGGCCTCCAGGTACTGGCGGGCCCGCTCGCAGTCGTCCTGGTCCGGGCTGGGGGCCTCCAGCCCGCTGCCCTGCAGGATCTCCATGCAGGCGGCGATGACGCAGGGGATCTCCAGCAGCTGCGCGGCCTGCAGCACGGCCGGCATGTTGGCGCTGCTGGTGGTCAGCGTGGCCGTGTAGGCGAACTCGAGCAGGGCCCCCAGGGCCTCGGGCCCCACGAAGTCCAGCTCGCACACGCCGCCGGCGCCCCCGGCGCCCCCCGCGGCCGGCCCGCCGCCCCCCGCCCCGGCGCCCGGGCCGGCGCCCCCGCCCTCCGTGAAGAGCTTCTTGAAGTAGTGGCTGCAGGCGGCCAGCACGGCCCGGTGCGTGCGGTACTCAAGGCCCTGCGTCCGGATGGTGAGGTCGCACAGGTGGCCTTGCTGGCGCTGCTGGTTGAGGCAGCTCAGGAGCTCGCTGCTGTGGTCCGGGAACGGAATCCCGATGAGGTCGTCCTCGGGGCTCCCCATCTTCTCCTGCAGGGCCAAGGAGGGGGCAGGTTAGGGCGCTCAGCCCCACAAGGCGACCCCCAGGAAGGAGACCCCCCGGAAGGAGACCCCCCGGAAGGCGACCCCCCGGGAAGGAGACCCCCCGGGGAGGAGACCCCCCGGAAGGAGACCCCCCAGGAGACCCTCTGGGAAGGAGACCCCCCCGGGGAAGGAGATCCCCCGGGGAAGGAGACCCCCGGGAAGGAGATCCCCTGGGGAAGGAGACCCCCCGGGGAAGGAGACCCCCCTGGAAAGAGACCCGACCTCAGCCAAGGCTTATGGGCAGGTACTCCCCGCCAGACGCCCTTGAAAGCTCTTCCCTCCCCTTTACTCTCCCACAATCCCTGGCGTGCCAACAGCCCATTTAACAGACAAGGAACCTGAGGCCCAGGCAGGGGTGGGTGACTGTCCAAGTTAAGCTGGACAAGGTCCAGGCTGAGGCAGAGGGCCCGGGCCTGTGGTGCCCGAGGTTCAGCCTCCGTGAGAGCAGGCGCCCTGACTCTCCGGCCGCCTCCCCAGCCCTTGGAAATAGCGCTGGCGTGCAGAGAGGGGGCCTTGGGCTGATTCAGGCTCCATGAAGCGCTGGCTGAAGGACACTGGGTGGCTATGGCACCGGCCTCAGTCCTCTGAATGGTGGGCTAACAGCCTTCCGACAGCCTAGAGGGATTCGCATCGGACCAAGGCCTGCCACGGGTTATCTCCCCGAAGCAAGAGTGGGGAACCTTATTTTCTGCCAGGGGCCATCGGAATATTTATAACATCCTTCTCAGGCCACACAAAATTATCAACTTAAAAATTAGCCTGCTGGCCGGGACCGGTTTGGCTCAGTGGATAGAGCGTTGGCCTGCGGACCGACAGGTCCCGGGTTCGATTCCGGGCAAGGGCATGTGCCTGGTTGCGGGCACATCCCCGGTAGGGGGTGTGCAAGAGGCAGCTGATCGATGATTCTCTCTCATCGATGTTTCTAACTCTCTGTTCTGTCCCTCTCTCTTCCTCTCTGTGAATAAATCAATAAAATATATTTTTTTAAAAAAATTAGCCTGCTGGCCGAAACCAGTTTGGCTCAGTGGATAGAGCGTAGGTCTGGGGACTGAAAGGTCCCAGGTTCGATTCCGGCCAAGGGCATGTACCTTGGTTGTGGGCACATTCCTGATGTATCTCTCTCATAGATGTTTCTGGCTCTCTATCCCTCTCCCTTCCTCGCTGTGAAAAATCAATAAAATATATTTAAAAACAAAACAAAACCAAAAAAAATTAGCCTGCTGTATTTGGTCAAATACTTAATGAACTCACCCCTCGTGCCTCAGGAGGGCCAGACCCAAGGATTCTGCAGGCCCTTTGCGGCCCGAGGGCCGGAGGTTCCCCACCCTGCCCTGGAGCGTTGGGCGTACAGTAAAACCCTAAGCTTCCCAACTCCCTTCCCCTCCTCCCTGCACCCTCTGCTCAAAATGCATCTCCCCTCCTATGTCCCCTCTTCTCAAGGCCAGAAGGGAAACAGCTCCCAGCATCCCGTGCTTCCCCCCCCACACACACACACATCCTTCCCTCCCCCGTGGGGCCAAGGAGCAGCAGTGCTTTGCTGGGGTGTCGCTGGCTCGGGTGCTTCCTGCCCCGAAGATAAGCATCGTCCCCGCCCCTCCCCCCCTGCCAATAGGCCAAGTTCCAGTCCCACCCCTCTCCACCTCTGCTACCACCACCGCCATCACCGCAACCTCTCCCGCTCCATCCCGGCCCATCTAGAGGGCCGTCTCCCAGCCTCCGGGCTTTCCCCTGCCTGCCCGCCCGCCCACCCCACATGCCCACAGAGGAGGGTACGCTGCCAGCAATCCCAAGGGGAAGGGGTAGTGGAGAGTCTGGCCTGCCTGGAAGTGTGGCGATCTGTCTGCCTCAGGTCTTGGCTCTCCTGCTGCCGCCGCCAGCTTGCGGAATGAGCTTGGGCAAGTCATTTCAACGCCAGGCTTTAATCTCTTGAGCTGCACCAGGAGGGGGTGGGAGGGGAAGCCCGAGGGGGTGGGAGTGGAAGCCCCTTTAGCCCTGACATGAAGACAAAAGTCGGGGCCTGGGAAGAGCTAGGCTCTGGAACCCTCACTCTGCACAGATTAGCTCCGTGACCTTCAACGAGGGATTCCATCTCGGCATCTCCTTCCTCCTCTATAACAGGAGGCCTAGGATGGTGGTGGCTCTGGCAAAGGAGACCCGAGTGTGGCACCGCGCCTGAGCCTGACACCGCACAGCAGGGGCTCGGTGAAAGCCCCGGGGCCTTGGGAGGGAGAAGCCAGGCCTCGCCTGAGGGCAGATTCCACTGCCCAGGTGGCCTCTGGCCTCCCTCCACTAGGGCTAGCAGGGCTAGGAAAACTACTAGGCAGATCTGCCTGCCTCCCTCCCTCAGCCATCCCCCCTGGAGTCAGTTACGACCAGCGACATGACCTTGGACAAGTCACTTCCTTTCCCGAGGAGGCCCGAAGGGACCTAGAAGGGACTTGACCTAGATGATCCTGAGGACAAGACGGACCCCTGACGTTTCGCTAGTGGTTCCTGTGTCACTCCCCGAGGCCGCTGGGCCGGGGTGGATGGGGAAAGGTATTTGGGGGGAGGAGCCGGTGGAGGCCTGGGCCACGGTTTCCTCTTTAAGACATAAGAACCGCATTGTCTGTGCCTGCCTCCTGCCTGGCACCTTCATGGCGATGCCAACACTGCACAGCAGCTCGGAGTGAGTAGCACCCACGTGTGGGTCTCGGGCTCCGCAGCCACGCCTCAGTGGCCTTAGGACAGTCCACCGTTCCCACCGTAAGTCCCCCCCAAGTCACGTCCCCCCCGGGGGCCGCGCTGTGCGGGAGCTCCCCAGGCCTGCGGGCCTCCTGCCCGCACGTCACAAACAGTACCCGCCTCGGCGGCTCCAGGGCTCAGAACAAACAGCCCAGTGGGCAGACGCGCGGTGGCCACCCTCCTGGGCCCAGGCAGATCCTGTCCTTCCAGAGGGGGATGGGTGTGGCTGCCCTCCTTGTCCATTGGCCGGGAGCTGGACACCCACAGGCACGTGGCTCATCCCATCCCTCTCCCGCCCTCCCCACCCCACCCATTCCCGCTGCTCAGCCCGCCCCCTCTCTCCCACCCCGGGGCCAGTCTCCATGGCAGCTCGGTGTGGTGGGGGCACGGGCCGGCTGACCCTGCTGTCAGGCCAGAAGCTCAGGCTGGTGCACTGCACCATGTGCACCAGGCTTGGGCCAAGGTGGGTATTTAACCTGAGGTCCAGCTCCCATGCCCATGCCACCAGGTAGCGATGAAGGAGGGAAGAGGCCGAGGGCACAGGGCACACGTGGGAAGGGCAGGTATTCGTAGGGTTCTCTAGCTCCTGGGAAACTCCCCCAGCCCTTACCCAGGGCTCTGGCACCCAAGCCAACCTAGGTGCCACCTGGAACTACGCTGGTGCCAACCAGGCCAAGGGGGCACTCCTAGCCCCATCATCTGGGAGGGGTGGATGGGGTGGAGGCCTCCCCCTTCTCTCTGCCAGGGTGGGGCACTGGTGCCAGGATGCCCACCCCACCTTGGGCACCCTTCCCACCTCTGCATCCCAGAGGGCCCAGCCCCCTGACGCCCCATGCGGGCGGCCCGTCCCCACCCAGCCTGGCATGCCCCCTCTTGCTAAGACCTTGTGGGCATGGGCGTGTGGTGGTTGGGGGGGCAGCTGTGCCAGGGAACCAGGTGAGGTCTGTTTGGTCTGTTTGCCTGGTAGGGGGAAGAACTGGGGGGGCCCCGCCCCATCGCTCCCCCCCTTTCCTGCCACCCCCCCAGGCTCCCCTCACTGTTGGGCCTGCTAGACCGGCCAAGCCAGTGGGCAGCTCTCTTGAAACTGGGCCCTGAGTCAAGCCTGCCCCATCGCCGACGGGGGGAAGACTTTGGGGTAAGAGAGGCAGGAGCCCTATCCCCGACCCCTCCGTGCCCAAGGGCAGCTGCCAGGGCGTGCCCACCGCCGAGAACCCAAAGGCAGAGGGCCATGAGGAGGCACGAGGCCTGGGAAGGAAAGGAGGCCAGGACGCTTTCCAGGGCTGACCTCAGGCAGCGTCCAGAGCCGGGGCGGGGGCACCGGGGCCAACAGCGCCGGCTCCGCCAGCTGAAGAGCTGGGCGCCGAGGCCCCGCGAGGGGCAGCTGAGTAACGCTGCCCCCCTTCCCTGCACCCTGGGGATTAGGGGAGTGAGGCTTAGTGTGGGGGGCAGCAGGCGGAACCAGGATTAGCAGAGGAGAAAATAGATATGGGCCCGAGACACGGGCACACAGAGCCCCCCCCCCCCCCGGGCTCCGAGGTCCCCACCTCCGGGCTCTGCCAGGGCATCCGCCCAGCAGGCCGGCCTCTCCAGGTGCAGCAGCGGCGGCTGGGGGCGAGGGGGCAGGAGGACCGGGCTGTGACATCCTCCCGCCAGGGGCGATGGCAAGACCCACACGTCCAGCCCCCTTACTTCATTCTCCTCGCCATCCCTCAATTCCCACCCGGACTCCAGCCTGGGGTTCTCTTCCTGTTTTGTTTTTGTTTTTGTTTTTTTTGAGCTAAGTTTGCACGAAGCCCAGGCCTCTGGCCTGAGGCTGGACCAGGGGGTTGGGGAACTAGGACAGCCGGGTCCAAAGTCCTCAGGGACCCAGGAATCCCGGTTTCCTCCGCGTCTCCCACCCCTTCCCGGGGCCTCTGGGGCCCGAGCCATCTGGACCGCCTGGCTGGGAAGGCAGGGTGAGGGGTGAGCTGAGGCCCCCGCCGGGTCCGAGGGACTTCGAAGGGACGCGCGCTGCCCAGGGATGCCCGCCCGTCCATGGAGCCCTCCCTTCGCCGCCCCAGCCCCTCCGAAGCGGGCGCATGTCCTCCCCCTCCCCCATAGGCTGCTTCCCCTCCTCACTTCACCACCCCCGGCTCTCACACTTCCTGGGGGCCTAGGCGGGGAAGGGAGACCGCAAGCCACGAAGGGGGAAGGAGGCAAGGGGAGCCGGCTGCTTC